ACAAACATTCCCCCCACAATACAGATTTAAATTTATCAAAGCCTAAGCAATTGGAAATATAAACGTATGAATGTTTGCAAGCGTGTATACGCCCCTAGGCTTCCCCCCTGCAAATGTTATACACGACTCTTTGCTGCTCATCCAAAATATGCACATATATAAAAAGAAAATGTAGAAACCAATATGTGCCTTCCCCCCCCCAAATAAGGCAACAGCGCGGACAGGGATTAGTGTTAGGGTTCGCGTATTTAATGCCGGACTGTTGGCTAGAAGTCAGTTTACATTCGGAAGATCCTGCGACCGGCCAAATCGATCAAGGCTTTCCGTGGTTTTACTCGAATCCAAGAACAAATTCTTAGTTGATACCCCAATTCCACGTTGCACTGCATGTTTCACATGCAGCCCTCCCATTGGTAGCGTGAATATTTCGCCATAATGCAGCCCTTCCAGTGTCATAAAAAATAATTCCCATCATAAGCGTTTCCTCTACCAGAATGACTAGCGGGCATTGCCTGGGAACCTTCAAAACCGGAAATCTAGTTTCTCACTCTCCCCCTCAAATTTAGTGTCTCTCACTACCTGGCCACTTTCTTTCTTTCTTTCTTTCTTTCTTTCTTTCTTCTCTTTTCTTGTCTCTCCTCTCTCTCTCTCTATCAGATACTCATTCTAGCAAAAGAAGAGGCCTTTTTTTTCTATGTGGTACGCGCCATGCCCAATGCTGGGTAACGAGGCGATGAACACGCATTCTGACACGTCACATGTGGTTTCCGTGAGGTCCGACCCGATTCTATATAACGAGAGGCGAACAGTAATTGGGAGTTCAGTTCAGTATTTGAGTTGGGTTGAGGGGTGGGTTCAGGTGTGGAGTGTTAACCAGCGGGCAACGGAAGCTGAAGTCTCTTCATTGCTAAGATTCGTTTCCAGGAAACACTGCAGATGAATAGTCACTGTTGAGAACTGTTGCCAAGCAACGACTAGTGAAAGCAGACTTAGAAGACTTAGTGTGGAGTGGTGTGGAGTGCGAAAATCAGCGATAGTATAATAATTATTTGTAATTACAACCTGTTAAATGGTCAATAAGTCCATTCGCGAATTCAGACCCCGTCTATAGTCACTAATAAACGTGTCAATATTTAGTTAGTGTAGAGTGTGTGCGCGTGCGCGAAGTAGGATAGCAGAATGACAGCCGGGGGGCATTTCTTCACGGTTTCACGGCGGTAGTTAATGCGCCGTTAGAATTAGGCGTGCGAACTGTAAACACACCTGTAAATTCGGAACGAAACGAAGAGTTCCATAATTTGAGATATAACGCTATGTAGTTCGTTGAAAGTCAACCAACATTTCAGAGGAACATGTCGCCTCCATCTTCAGGGTTGAAGAGCAAGTCAAGCAAGAACCCATGCTGACTACTTCATGCTGGTTTCTTACTTGGTTTACTCTTCAAGTCTGAAGATGGAGGCACATTTTCTTCTGGAATGTCAGTTGACTTTTAACGGGCTACGCGGTGTTGTATCCCTCCGCTGTGTGAGAGCCTAGAATCTTATATCGGGACGAAATATTTTTTGTAAGTTAACGATTGCAGCTACTGTGAAGATGCAAGTACTGAAGTTATACGAGTATCTGACATATCTGGTGTAGTGGTGATCGACTAGTAAAAGTCATGGACAGAAGAGGGAGCCATTACGTTTTGTAACTGTTAATTATTACTTCCTGCTGACAGCTTCATAACTTGTATTCCTCACCAAGTATAATTAGAATGATCAGGCCGAGGAAGATGAGATGGGAAGGGCATGTGGCACGAATAGGGCAGAAGAGGAATGCATATAGGACACTGGTTGGAAAGCCGGAAGGAAGATCACTGTGAAAACCAAGATGTAGGCGGGTGGACAATGTTAAAATGGATCTTAGCACGGATGAGGGAGAAGAGGCATGCATATAGGATATTGGTGGGAAATCCGGAAGGAAGGAGACCGCTAGGAAGACGAAGACGTAGGTGGGTGGACAGTGTTAAAATGGATCTTAGATAGGATGGGATGGTACGGATTGGATTGATCTGGCTTAGGATAGGGACCAGTGGAGAGCTCTTGTGAACACGGTAATGAATCTTCGGATTCCATAAAATTCTGGAAAATTCTTGAGTAGTTACACAGTTGGCGGCTTCTCAAGAAGGGCTCAGCTTCATGGAGTTAGTTCTTTCTAACATCACCGCATAGCATGAAGCATTTCAATGGAGACAGGCTTCATAAATTTCTCTGAGAACTTTATGCTAACTGGTGAGCTCGGTTAATGTCAATCACCGTTCCACTGCTTTCTACTGGCCCTTTCCCTCGTAGCTGTACTTCATTTGATTACGGTTTCTTTCCGTTAATCATTCCCGTCAACTGACAGGGTTCCAGCAGCACCCCGTGGTGACGCCTCACTATAACCACTCTTTCGTTTACGTCACAGGGGGGTGCTGTCACTCTGCTTTCACCGTATTTTCACCCCTGCTTTCTGTAACACAAGTACCTAATTGTAGCAGTCCTGACACACACAGCATTCGTGGAAACTCTTTCAGTCCCGAAAATGTAAGGAAGTCGTATTACCGGTATCCAATCACCGAGACATCGGTATCCAATCACCGAGAAATTAACTCAAGCAGTAATGGTTTTGTCACACTCGAGAGGTAAAAACGTAAATATCCTTTACATTATGACAAATGACTTACTACTGCAGACAGTGACTCTGACAAGACAGACCAGTCCTCAGAGAGGGCGGCCCACAATAACAAGACCGTAACTGTCAAACAGTAGTAAATATCTGATCATTATCCCCAAATGAGGCTTGACACCAAGACTGACTGACTGTTAGTCGCAATGTGACTTTGACTTTGACTGAGAAGGTAGTCCAGGGAGAGTTTTAGTTGAGTTCCGAGATTCTAGGGTGGTTGAAGACGAGAAGACTTCATACTGATTTGAAGTGTTAGTTTCTGTGGTGAGATCCGTTGCCAGGAGATGACTAGTGAAGACTGCGTATGCAGCGGTGGACAAAGAAAGTGTGTAAATCAGCGATAGCGCTGTAATAAATGTGATTAAGTGAGCTTGTAACCGAAGTACCAGTAAATCAAATCATCCGATCTATAACACGTTATTTTCGTCACGTGTAACCCCATACACGTGACAATATTTCCTTTTGTTCTGCTTTGTGCGCGGGATGTAAACATTTTTTTTTTGTTCATCGATTTGAAGGGCGGAGCCACCTGTTGCTGGGGATCTCCTACCTGAAAGGTTTATAACCGACACTTGACACGAAGAGATTGCTAGTCTATTGCTAACCCTTCAGGGCTTCACGTCCATTCATGGTTTATATAACGATTGTGAGTAACTGTTGCGGCTGATAGTTGAGGACAAAATGGTGAATGGTAACAAGACTGGGACCGCTGTATTGCGTCGTGCTCCTATCTCGGAGATAACCAATTTGTCTTTACTCGTATGTCTAACCCAGACAGCTTGTCTGATCTATGTGAGATTTGAGCTTCTTGAGTGGGTGACATGGTAGAATACTGACTCCTGCATTTCATTTGCTTCACTGAAGATGGAGGCAGCCGAATTGCTCCTAAATTTCGGCAAATACCACAGTGCACTGCGTCACAGTCAAGAAAACAATAGTTTCTTTGTCTTCTTTAGAAGTAGCATTTGTAGTGATTGAATTGTTAGTAGCCCCTATTTCATATCCGTATTCACCACCGTCCAGGTTACACAATTACATCTGGCGGTCGATTGTCCGAATGAGGTTCACCGTGACTTTCCGTGGTCTTTTAAGGTAAATTCTGAGATGATACCGATGACCTCTTACTTTCACATCATTCGCAACCGTCCTGCAGTTTGACACGGTTTAACGAATGGTAAATCAATAAATCGGGCATAAATTTGTTTATGCACAATGATAACTGATTCAGTGTTATGACATTTGAGGTTTTCCACTGCAGTGAAGATTCAGATTGTGTCTTTTGTGTTATGATACCGCGTAGTCTGGTAGATACTTACCGACATTTCAGAGAAATAAGCTATCACTCTGTACCTTCATATCATATTTATTTTCTACATATATAGTCAGTTACGTGATGCGTAGTCAAAGTCTTTGCGCCTGATGTACTCGTAGAAACCTTAACTGCACATCTGTTCTTATGGCATAAAATAAATGCAGGTTACATTCTTTATCATGTTTGAACAGTCTGTATAAGCCCTTTTTGCAGTTTTTGTGTAGTTGTATGTGTATATCCACCTGATGATTGTCATTTAATGACCTGAACATGTCCTAAAACTGATTACATTTGTAGAAATAAACCGCACATGAAGGTATGTTGTGATCATTCATAAAGTTACAGAAGTAGGTTACAGAATTATAAAATCACTTTGGGGAAACCTATTCACTCCATCTTCAGGGCATATTTCAAGCTAGAAAATGCTGCCACCTTCAATTTCAGGATAGACTTCTAGTGAGAGGAAGCTTTTACTCCCAGCTTCAAGGTAGAAATCTGTGTTCAGAATAGAGGCGACGTATCTGGCTGAATCATTGATACCCAGTTACAAGGCTACTGGACACCATAATCCAGATTATCATTATGGATTAAAACAGTCATTTTCAGCCACTTTCCTTATTTTGAAAGAATAAAATTAAGCTTATGATGTTACATTTCTGTCTGTGTGTCTATGTGTATATCCCCTCAACAACCTTTGAATGCCTGCAGGGTACTCAAGACGAGCAGCCTTAAGGAGGGAGCTATGTGACATGACGCCTGAAAGTCGGAATAATGTAGGAAAGTACGTCATTAGTTCTTAATAGAACTCCCTATTGTGATTAATTTTACCATGATCTGTGTTGGGACTAAATAGCATCAAATAGTAGAATAATTCATGAATGATAATTTGGAAAAGATTTTGGGATGAAGCATTCATGGCCTAATCGATAATGTCGCCTTGAAAACAATGGAATGTAATTAATTAATATTTCTTTTGAAGACGCCTGGTGGAGCGGCTGGAGAATATGAAGAGGGCTGCAATGGGGAACGGTACAAACCAATGCATTCTCTGTGGAGACAGCTTCGGTGTCTTGGGGGCGGCTAGCTTCATCTGCCACGACTGCAGGAAGGTATATGAACCTGTTGCTACTTAGCTTAAGTGCATGGCAAGAATGTATAATTCTACCTATGTTTAGTTATCATGGCATGAAGACTTATGGTTGTGTGGAAGTATAGCTCCACGCATTCTAAATCACAGCGCAAGCTGGATGTAAGGACCCGGCTTCGCGTTGTGGATTTGGCCGAACCCACTAACTGAGATAAGGATGTAGTATGTGTACTGGTTATAAAAAGGATCTAGATGTATTGCGTTATTCCCTCTCCTTCCCTTAATTTAACTGCAACCACTATCATGCTATTTCTTGCCATACTTCGCACGCACAACCCAGATGTCAGGTCCAAGTAAACACCTATTGGGTAGAAGGTTGGATGGGTCCCACAAGCGGTCAGGATGCGGTGGCCCTACCAGCAATAGCACCCGTCACCCATCCGTAGTCACTGTTCTAACAGAACTAACGTTAGCTTCAAATAGTGACGTTTCTGCGCTGTTTGTTGACTGTACAATATGCCAAAAACTCTGTGAACAATTTAATCACATTGATCGAACTGTTCTCGCAGATGCGTTTACATGACTCACTGCACATACATCAGTATGACAGACATTCGTCTGTTGCAGCATCATAATCAGTTTATTGCAATGCTGTGTACATATTGCTGGATACTTCTTGTGTGTCTGATATTACTAAGCTGGATAACATATTTCCCGCCTCTGTGGAACCCGAAGATTCATTGCTGTAGGTTTCTGTCTTCTGGATGCACGAGTAACTCCATATAGTCCATTGAAAGTCAATTGATGTTTCAGAGGAACATGTCTCTATTATCAAAATATACAAGTAGATCAAGCAAGAAGCCAGAATTAAGTAGGCAACAAACAAAGTTCCACCGAAACGTCGATTGACTTTCAACAAACTTCTAGGTGTTACATCCCAGGGAATAGAATTCTTCATAACCACCACTGTGAGAGCCTCTATTCCTAAATTTATTACCTTGTTCACAAACACCCACCACTGAAATGTATCCTGGGCCAGTTGAATTCATTCCACTCCTTCATACACGATTTCTCCTACATCCGTTTTAATAGTATTCTCTTTTTTGTTACTAGGTATCCAAATTTAGGTCTTCTTCATGAGATGTTCATACAAAATGTTGTATGCAATCTTGTCTATTATATGTTATAATTTTCTATCCAATCTTAAATGCGTTAATAAATATTTTTTGTAATAACACCTCCTAGTTGATTACTAATAGATCATAAATTCGTTGTGGGAACAGGAAATACTATTCCAGCTGAATATTTAGGCACTGGAGAGAATAATATAGTTATATTATTACATGCTGGACGATTAGGAATTGGGATTCCATTTCTAGCACGGATAAGGGATTTATCTCTTCCCCAACCTGTTCAGACCGGCTCTGGGACCCACTCAACTTCCTATCCAATGGAAACTGGAGGTTCTTTCGCCTGGGGTAAATCGGCAGGGGCATGAAGCTGACCAAGCAACTTCCATGTAGTACGGAGATTATGAATGCATAAACTTATACCTCCAATCCCCTATGTCTTTAGGGAAGTTTTCTGTTCAGTTCATAAAGAAAATGATTTTTCAGTCTGTTTATATTGTGATTAGCTTTACAACAACAGATTTATGCCTGCAATAAATTAATGCAATAGCCAACGAAATGTGTAAAATAATAAACGATGCATTTGGAGTGTGTGCATACTTCATTCTAATACGTATTTCCACACCAGTTTTCATCTGTGAGATTGTGTGGCTTAGGTTTTCGGGACTAGACCACATCGAATTTTGAAGATTTTCCAGCTTCATTCGAGGGTGTTATAACATTTCGGCAAACCTCATAATTTCCATCTTCATTATTATTGGTTGTGGGAGCTGAGCAGTAATTTGCTACTAGCCTTCACCAGCACAGCCATTCGTGGTTTCCGGCCCTATTGGGATTATATTTTTGTTTGTTCCAGGACTACTTAACGTGTTTTGAAATAGGGCCTCCTCTTCGACAAGAGGAGAGGTTAATTTTTCTCTGACTTGCTCTGAGTAGAGCAGTGGTTTGCTGCTGGCCCTCTCCAGCCTCCCTCCCCCTCCTCTGGCCGTCCGCCAAATAAATTGTTACCGGTCCTTGTTAGAACAGTCATCCTTGGTTCCGGATCCCTTGAGACTCATGGGGATTTTGGTGTTCCTATGCAGATCTTAGTCAAAGTCAAGGTCATGTTGCAACTGACGGTCAGTCAGTCTCTTTGTCTTGGTTTGAAACCCCGAATAATAATGGAAGTATCTGATAGTAACATCTGATTATTTCAGGCTGTGTGTCAGAAGTGTGGGATCGAAACAGTGTCTTCCAAGAAGGAACCCATCACCCTGTGCAAGATATGCTCAGAAACCCGAGAGATGTGGAAGAAGTCTGGGGCTTGGTTCTTTAAGGTTACTGTGTGTTGTAACTAACTGCCTGCTATTTCATTTTTCAACCCTTTACCCAGGGTTGTAGTTGAGTCAGAGCAGCATCCTGGTGCTTTCTTGAATGCCAGGATGTCACTCTGGTACTTATTTTAAAAATGGCGATGTCTAACATAAATGATGTATTTAAAAGTGTAACATACATCCTTATCGTGATTCATGCCCTTTTATTTCAACCTAGAACTGAGTGTCAGATCACCCCAGCACATTTATTTTTGTGACTACACCTCACTATTTTGTAATTCTGAATCTTCATCTTGCCAGATGCTATTCTGAGACAAAAGGTTTATCTGCAGATAGTACTTATATGCAATAAATATTCTCTGTAGTGATTTACTGGGAGGATAATGTTAAATTGGATCTTAGAGAAATACGATGGGGTGGTATGGGCTAGATTGAGCTGGCTGAGGATGGGAACCAGTGGAGGGCTCTTGTGAATAGGGTAATGAACCTTCAGGTTTCAAGATGTTGGGAAATTCTTGAGCAGTTGTACTACTGTCAGCTTCTCAAGAATGTCTCAGCTCAGCAGAGTTAGTTTGCTACTTAGTTACACAAAAGGACACAGTAAAATATGAATACAAAGTTTATTTCATATTAGAGCCAGTCTCGCCTTCTTCTACAGCTGCAGTCTTCAGAATGGGCTTCTGGTTACTCTAAATCATGGCAGTGCAACCATTATATCTATTGGAAGTGATGCCTCTGCCCAGTGTTTGAAGTTTGAGTGATGGTTGTATTATCATTACATACATCTGATAAGGAGAAAATTACACTACATTTAGGTTAGAAATTTTTAAAATGTATTGTAATTTGGGATTTGAATGCTTTGACTTGTTTACAATCAAAATTATCCAGTTTGGTGAAGTCAACTATAAACCAGAGAAACATGACGGTTGAGGTGGTAGCATTTCTGCTTCACGTTCAAGAGTCTCTGGGTTAAGATCACAGCCCTGAAGCCTAAAATGTTGACTGAGCATTTTCATTGTTTTCCTCAGTCCCTCCAGACAAATTCTAAGATGGCACTTCAATTAGGCTATGACTGCTTCCTTCCAAATTCTTCTCAATTCATCAGTTATACTTCATTTGACATGATATAGTCACAACTACTGACAGTGTTGTTAAATAAACCATAAATAAATCAATTAAAAAGTTAAAGGAAAATCTATCCTTGCACATGTCGTGGAGGCCCATAGGGTTGTGAGACGTCGAGGCTCCCAAATTTTCTCTAGACAGTCAGCTCACAGATGGCGGGAAAGTGGTCAGCCTTATGCGCAAGCCTCCCGTTACCCCCAGGAATATTCATGGTACGCATTTCTGTTAGAGGCTGTGTCAACCCCAGGGCTATAGTGTGGCTTGTAGGATTAGATAAATTGAAAAATTCCACCTCATTGGGACTCGAACCCGCGACCTTTTGACTTGTAGTGCCTCAACCAACTACGCTACCGAATGCCTCAAATAAGAATTAATCAGTCAGTTTACATGCCCTACGTTATGTAGTGTTGTTAAAGGCTAATTCTTCTGGTTTATGCCCTGTGCAGGGTTTGCCAAAGTATGTCCTGCCTGAGAAAAAGCGCAGCTCTAATGATGGGAGGTATAGTGGTAGGAAGTTGCAACGTCCAGGTCTCGAGAAGAACAGCTGGTCACGGGGCAGCGGCGGGCGTGAGTACCTCCAGTCTGCCAACACCACAACATCATCTACCAATAGTACAACATCTACACTTAAAAGCACACCTGCTGGATCAAAATGTAAAATATTTTTTTCTTACACATATTTTACTTGGTTTAATCATAATTTATTTTAAAGGTAGATATAGGATAGTAATAACAGTTTCTGAAATGTTTTATTCACATTTTATAAATATATGGAAGGATCCTGAGTCATTTATCTTGATTGATTTCCCCTAGTTCCTTTTGCTAAGAATTTATGATGTTTCCTAATAGGCTATGATTAATTCCTAACCATTCATAATCATCTTCATGTCATGTATTAATTTTTTCAGCTTTGTATTGAAAATGTGAAACAATATAGATCTTTGGTCAGGACAAAGACAGAATGAGGTTCAAAATATTTAGCTAAAATTTTCTTTCATTGCTTGAAATTCTATCTTTATTCTTCACATGAGTAAATGACCATTTTTATTATACAGCTTAAGTTCTTGAGTACATGTGGTTCTTTATATCGGAAAGCTCTGTATCTAATCCAAATATATTTTAATATTATGCTCATATTGGCATATTCTTTCTTTTCATTATTTGAACACTTCAGATTATATGCAGTAAATTTTGTAATAACACGTTCACAAGTTATGACTCCTCTTTATTATTAGAATCCATTCTATTGTATCCTTTCCAATTATGTTTTAGTTTTAATTTTGCCATCAGATACACCCAAAAATTTATACATGCCTACATGACTAACATGTTTCCATTCTCAGCACTCATCATAATAGGCATACTCAAAATAAATTACACCTAGTAAAAGCAGATTCCATGAAGGAATGGAACTTCCATTTACATTTAAATGATGCCAGGACACATAAACAGCTTCTGCTTGTGTACGTTAGCGCCGAACCAACATGAAATTATGAAATTCGGTAAAATCTATCAAGTTCTCTGCTTACAGTGGTTTATAGCAAAGGCAGTGGTGAACTTGAGGAAGAAAGCAGCTCAGAAGATGAAATAAACAGGAGAGCTCGTCAAGCAAGGAGTCGGCGTCTTGATGACACTGAAACAGGAGGCCGTCATCACAGGTGAGAAAGAATTATTTCAATATTGAGACACTTTCTGCTTTAGAGATTCTTCAATGCACATAGTTTCTTTAGTAATCATATTATCAAATGTTGAGTGTAAGTACGCCTTCGTAGGAAAAATTGAAATAACTGTAACGAATATACATAAAGCTGCATAATATACTGAATATTTTTAAGACGATTGAACAGAGCACTTACAGCTATAGGAGTTTAATTATGCAGTCCAGTTGCATAATCAAACACTAAACGACTGCTTGCCAATCAGTAAGTATTGTCATATCTCAGTCTGGGCTTGCTATTCCATCTCTTAGAAGAACCTGTGACATTTTCCATAATTTTTCCAAAGTGGTACATTCATTGTTTGAATGCCACACTCAGAATGTTCCAAATTTCCTGTGCTGTTCTGCAGTCCTGCACTGTTGAATTCTGATCTTCATTTCCCATATTCTTTTTAATAGCTTATACCTTCATGGCTCCTGTAAGATAATAGGTATAATTTTGTTGGACTTCGTTCTTCATCTAAGACATAATGAATATGCACAAAAAAGTTTCAGGTGTTAACTGTATCCAGTCTCTAAGCGATTGCTTGGAATTTTACTGACAGTTGTATATTTATCTCCATATTGCTGATTATTAGTGGCAGTGATAGGGACTGAACCCAGAACTCTTTGAATAATAATCTTATATGTTATCGTTGACGATACAAACAAATATATGGACTAAACTTGTACTATGAGTTTAAAATAAATGTTAAACACACACACAACAGAACACAAATTTGGGAAATATTTTTTTTTGCACTAAGACTGTAGTCAGGGAAAAATTATATTAAGTAAAAATCATATGGAAATTCTCAGTTTAAAGAAAATGTTGAAATTCTTTGGCGCTTTGTTTCTCTGAATCACTGTTTAGGTAAATGGTCTGTCTACCTTCTCTTACTCTCCTACTTAATTATCTTCTCAGGCTCTTGTTTCAAATTAAATTGCATAATAAATTGAAAGTCTTTAAAATGTAACATAATTTTAAAACTGTTGGAAAATTGGTTTAGTCAGGCAAAGAGCATAAAACATTTTGAATATGAATAGTGATATAAATCATAAACCAGTAAATGACTTAAATTCTCTACAGCAACTAAAGAAGAACATAATTCTAAGACTATAGTGTATATAACTTTCTCCCTTATACAGTGGCGTGCGGTTCATATTATGTTTAGGCACAAAGTTTTAGTTGAAAGACTTGGAAAATAATTGTCATGTCTGGCATTTCTTGGGGTATGAAATATCAAAATCTAATCTTATCATCAAATTTAGCTCTGTTCATCACTTTTCGTGGAACATTTGCTAATAACGCGGTCATAAAAACACTTTCACTCTTTAGGTACTTCAACATTTTCTTCTTGATGGAGATGATGGATAGTTGTGCGGGTCTCTGCCGTCCTTGACTAGTTCTTGTGTAAGTATGGACGCATTTGAGGGCAAAAAATTGCTGTTCTGTGAATGCACATCTTGCGAGAATTGTCACTATTAATTCACGCAATTTATATTATTGATGTAATTCTTCATATATTCTTCTTCCCCTGAAGTTATTTCAGTAGACCATAGACCACATATTGGAATTGTTTTGGGGCCCTAAAGACTATAGTGTTAATTCTCTGTTTAATAAATGTTTATTCATGGGAGTAACATCTTTTATTTAAAAAGCCAATTGTTTTGTTGGCCTCTGGTTGTTCTTGGTTATGCTGAACTGCACTTGTGGACGTGCTAGCACTGCCTTTACTATAATTCTGTTGCAACAAATCCCAAATAACTGTTTAAAAAGAATTACAATAATTGTCCAGTAGGGAATCACAGAATCTGTACATATCAGTAGTTGCAGTTTTAAAAAAGAAATACTATTTATAATTTGCAGTTCTGTATGTGAAAATTTCAGGCAAGACTGAAATCTATAGGTACTCTTCATAACATTATTCCTAAATTAAAATACGTTATGGCACAAATATACATATAATTCTGTCTCTAGATTTAAAGTAACTGAATGCTGAACATGCTAACGATCATATTTAGTGGCATCAAAATAGTGATAATTACGAGTATTTTATTATGCAAAGCCCATTTTATGTGTTGCTTATACAAGTTCAATAAGGGTCACCATTTTATTTTCTATGAAAATGTAAAAGGTGTCATGAAAGTTATTTATTGCAAAACGTTTGAAAATGTTAAATTATAAAAAATTGATAACAATGATATTCTTTTCATTTGTTGCTGTATAAATAAAAACTAACATATAGAACATATCTTGCTCCATGTAAGTAATGGTCTTTCGACTTTGTTTGCCATATTGTATTTGACACTCCTTAGATTCCATTACTGTAATATAAATTTGCAAGATAAAATAAAATGGAATTAAAGGATCTAAAGATTTCTACAGACACTGTGTGTATTGTATAAATATATTGGCATACATCATGATAAAATTGTACAAAATAAACACAAACTTACTGATTTCATATAATGAAAATAGATTAAGATACAAATTACTTGAAGCCCTAATGTATCACATGCAACTTCCTACACTGTCCAAACTCAGGTTGCTGTTTACATCAACCGAATTGAAGGATAAGATGAAAAGATATCAATTTGTCAAAGATATCATTTCCATTGTATCTTCCATTTCCAGTTATATAAACTTCATAACAAAACTGTTCTTTTGGTTTGATTTAAATTTCTGTCGCACGCCACTGGTCTTCGATATTTATCTTAATACCACCTGAAGAATACTTTCTTCGGGCGCATGATGTAATGTAGTCTGGTAGATGTTTACCGACATTTCAGATAAACATACTGGCTCCATCTTTAAGGTTGAAGACTATGCCAAGCAAGTAAGAAGAGTACTCTTCTTGGTGTTTGCTCAGCATATTCTTCCATCCTGAAGATAGAAACAAGAAATTCCTTTAAATAGTGACTACATTTCTATGGGACTACATGATGTCACATCCTAGATGATAATGTTCTTCATAGTTCTCGCTGTGAGAATTTCAAATCTCACTTACTACCATTTATTTTCAGTGTCAAAAGACTGCACTGCATTTCTGTGAAGGAAAGATGTGGGATTGAAAAACATATACACGCATGATTATCAGTGTTGCTTAAAGGCCGTCTCTAAATTGGTGTTGCAACTCTCTACAGCCAATTTTATTATTATTATTATTATTATTAATTTTTTGGCACGATAGCCACAGTGTAATTTCCACAGTCAGGCTTACATTAATTTCTTTTAGTGCATATCCAGTGTGGAAAAATTAAACACTATTCCATTGTAACATCTTCAGATATTTGTATGTGACATATGTTTCTAGCAATTTCAATTTATATAGCAATTCAGTTTAATCCTGTTCACAAATTATTTGGTTTTGTTGTTGTTGTTGTTGTTGTTGTTGTTGTTGTTGTTGTTTGTTTGTTTTTTAAATAAATAACATTTATATTGATTCTTCCAAACAGACAAGGGAGTGAAATCAGTTTGGTGTTTCTTCATTTGTGTAATCTTCAGAAGTAAATTTGATTTGTTCATATCAATTTCTATTAATTTATTAAAAAATATAATTACCTGAATTTCTTCCAGACTTATATTTCAAACATTTGTTAATTTGTTCAGTGTAGGACAGTTTTTGTTTTTTGTTGTGTCACATAGAAATATGTTTTAATATAACTATGATAAAAAGCCCGATATAATTCTCACATAATTGTAATATTGGATGTGAAGAAGTAAAACGCTTTAAAACTGATTATTTTAACGCATAATGCAGTAGATGTAGGCTAGTATTAATTATGTGTGTTTAATTAAGGATTTAATTTTTATGTATAATATCAGTCAGTGTAAAACCACACAAATGGAGGCAGAGAGTTGCAATGCCATCTTTCACTGAATAAACTCCCTTTAAGAATTCTTGACTTGCATACAGAACACTTTAAAAATGTTTGTTTTAAGTCTCTTGATAGGTTATTCTTTGTGTTGTATATGTTGCATGCTATTTATGTAATTGTCTTCATCTTTATATGCATTGCATACTTTACATTATGTGGTCAACCAGAAGGAAAAATCAGTTTTGGAAGATCTCTGTAGTAAGAGAAATATTCTGGTTTAGTATTTCTAATCTCTCAGTAAGCCTAACACTGCTGCTACTGCTGATGCTAATAAGAAGATCGAATAAAGTAGTTGACTTGATCAGTGATTTTCTGTACATTTCTTCGCTTTTCAACAATAGTTGTGTCATGAAAGAATTGGACCTACATTGGCATAACATTTTGCACTCATAATAACTAAATTTACAACCTCTGGAAGTTTGGCAGATATTTCATGTGTTTCCTGCATGTATTGCTGAATGTAACTCATGTGGGAAACAAATAAATTGTGTATTCCATGTCAGAGTGAATGTAAACTGCATTATTTTTACTTGCTGAGGATTATCTTCTACTATTCTATGCCATCATGACCCTGAAAGAAGTTGACTTCCAATCCTGTCATGAGGCATGGAAAATTGGCTGGGCCAAGTGTGTTTCATCAGAGGAACGCTATTTTTAGGAGACAGTGATTTAGACAAATAATTGAATAAATGGTTGTGTACAAAATTACTCTCATTACCTTGTTAACACACCTTGTATATGCGAGAAACTAAGATAGTAATCTTATTTTTATTGTTGCAAGGCAAGTAAGGGAATCAAGTTGACATAAACATTCTATGTTATAATTTGATGTAAATAAATATTTGGTTAACTGTTATAAATAAACCACCCTCATTGTTATTCTTAATCCTGCCTGATGACTAATACAGTAAAACACAATAAAATTAAATGTCCTCTGCCACATTACATACTAAAAAATAATATATACAGAACATAAGATCCTTCAGGTTAAGATAACTGATCTGATAGTATCCAGATGTGTTAAATTCAAATGGTGCAGCAGAAGGTTAAAGCTCCTGATAGAGAATAATGAAGAATAGTATCTTCTGGGATGTTGTGCCATATAGTTTGGTAATGTCCCAGAAGAATTGTCACCTTCATAGTCACTACCATGAGAAATCCGAATTTCACCTTTGTGATATATATTTAGAAATATGGAATTGGGTCATTGTTGTTTAACTGACTGACTATCAGCAGAGAAATAATATGACATTTTGGCATTTTTTACTGACTCAGCAGAGAAGCAATAGAGCATTTTTGTGTTTCTGGTAGGGATATTGGGTGATTGTATTTTGATTTACTGATTTTCTTAAGACAGTAACACATATTACTGTTTCTGATAGTGATAATGGATGACTATATTCTGATTTAGTGATTTTCTGGAAAGAAGTATTAAAGGAAGTCATTATTCTTGATAGTTATAATGGGTGAATTATTTTGATTTACTGACTGCCTCCAAAGAAGAAGTAGAACATTTTCATATTTCTATATGATCATATTAAACATAAGATAACATCAGCATAGTAAATTTAACGTGTTTTAATAATCGATTTTTAACCAATAACATAATAATATAAATTAATTGGATCAACTAAGGTTTGTGATGTAGGTTCTAAAACTCTCCTTCTTTGATTCTGAAAAGGAACTCATTTGCTATAACATGAACAATGAAAAATTTGACTCAAATCCTTCTTATCTTTATCTGTAGGATTTAATATGACTGAAATGTGTAACAGCAGCTTGAAAAGCATTTTAATCTCTCCTAAAAATTAAAAATATTGGTCAGTAAGAAATAATGTTGCCACACGATCTGTCACATTCATCACTTGCTAATGGACTTCCATAATGAAGCTCTTTCTTATCCCTGTTATGAGGGATCTTACTTAAAATTTAAGGTGTATTTTGCATAAATACAAATTATCTTCAGCATGTCCACCTGTCTGACCATCTGCATGTAATAACTGTATTGTATTGGTTAAAATTTTTATTCAGTTTCATATTTTGTATCCTTGCTAAAATATTATAAATTGAATTTTAGTCCAAATAGGACATGGACTATTAATTTATCTGGTAGACCAGGAAGTTTTTAGTTATGTTCCAATAAGTACTACACAGATAATATAGAGTTTCAAATGACATGTTTAACTATCAGAGACTTGGATATTTTGTGTTATGTATATTATTTATACACTGTATATTTATTGAAAAAATGACCGTCAAATCATAAAATAGACTTTATGAATACTTGTTTGTAATTGAAATGTGCTGTTGATGATACACTGTGTGCTTACATATCATATTCTTATCTTTTTAAATTTTTGATATAATTGTCTCGGCAGTTCTAAGAGAAACATTAAGGAAGTGAGGATGAATAGCAAGGGTCAACTCCTGGCATCTGTTTTACATATTGTCTGATTTTTTTTTTTTAATTTCAGTCTTGGAAGACAAGTAAGTTGTGTAACATTTGACCCAAGCCTTGGACCACTGTCTGGATCAGGGTCACTTCCCTCCCAGCGTTCAGAGTCTCTGTCCCTCACAAGTGATGGAGAAATCCCAGGGGATATTCACTCTTACAGTGATGGTGAGAAGCTGGGTAAGCAACAAGCATTCTAAGTCTTGCTGATTAGTATTGTTCTTGTTCTTTGTTCTTTTATTTCAAATTCAAGCAGATCCAGATATAGGTTGAGAAGTAGATTCACAAACCCTTGGATATAGAATGTGTCACATATCAGAACAAATGTTCCAATTAATCATTGGAACAAGTCTAGGTAACATAATATGAAATATATGTACACATGTATTAACTTCCAGATGATAAAGCACATTATTTGCAATTACAATACAATTAGTCTTAATTTATCTGTTTATTTTGATACTGTTTTAATGAGGGGGCCTGAGAAAAGGCTTATTTGTGCATATACCATACATACAAGTATTTTGTACCAGGGATTATTTTCCTGGAGATTATAGACAGCTAGATCAGGAAGTTAACCACTGACTTGTATCTATTGCTGAGTTAAAGACTGTTTGGAGCTTTACTTCCATGTTTTCTAAATGCCATCAGATAATAGTGTTTAATCCAAGGAACAGCTCTACCCATGTTACCCATTGAACAGGTCACGTTTCTGGAAATGTGCGAGACCACTGCAGGAGTCGAGAGAGTCTGGAATCATCTATGAACTTGAGTAGACAACCAAGTTGCAACATGTTAGATCTGGCCCACAGCCGAACTCTGGATGGTAGTCAGCCACACATGGATCAGTCCTGGGACCACCGGCAGAATACTTTAACAGACTTGGAGACGAGTCCCTCATTATACAGCCACTATGTGGCAGCCTCACCTCACTCACACATGTAAGAATGTACCACTGCTTTATGCATTCTTTTGTAACATATATATGTCATGTTAAAAGGATAATTTGTGTGCCTGTGCATGCACATATATGTGTGTGTGTGTGTGTGTGTGTGGATTCTTTCACCATCATATTGTAAGTGGAACATTAATTGTCCAGGTTTTAGTTTGACCTCAGTTTGTGCTTCTGGGGTGAGATGTTTCTTCTGTGTACCCAGATTCTTGTCCAGTGGGTAATGGTTGCTCTTTACCTGGAGGTAAAGGGGTTTACCTACTTTGTTGTTCACTAACTTCCAAAAGTCATGGAGTTTTTCTTTGGAACTCTGATCGGTACATTAACTTTTCAGTTATCAAATACCTTATTCAGAAATAAGGAACAAGAGTTCATTTGTGTAAAATAGAGAGATGCATGTATAATATTCTGCATTGCTCTAACTTGTCAGTGATATAATTGTTCATTTGAAAAGTAGTTATAAATGTTTCTTTATTAGGCGTCGCGACTCTCAAGGATCAAATATGTCACGGGACTGGTACTGGTCAGAGGACAGAACATCACTTTCCAGTGGTTCAGCAAGTGGCCATCGAACAGCTAGCAGCAGTTGTGGTGGAGTGGATATGGCTGAGGACAATGTTGATGCATCATTTATGGAAAACAGTTAATAGTTCTGCATAAATTTAATGCACAGATTATGTTCCTTTTTACAGGCATTCATTTTACCAGTTATTAGTGATTTTTATGGTAAAAGTTTTGTAGGTCTCTTTTATCTATTATAATTGCTAATAATCTTCTTGCACATCTTTTTAAATCAGGAAAGATGCAATATAGAACATTTGCTTCTGTTGTTTTTACTGAGAGTATAATGAATTAAAAAAATTATGTTACATAGTCTAGGTATTGAAAGTGTTATAATTTAGCCCACAGAAATATTTAAAATGCATAAATTTGCCATAAACTCTACATCCATCAACACTTTTGGGTATTAATACAGATATATGATAGGTTAGGTGACAGGTTGAGGAGGGTGGTAGTACAGAGCAAAATTATATAATTTTCTAGGCATGTAAAAATTTGGTAGCATTATATATATTCACTTGAAATGTCACTTTTATATAATGAAATTCAGTAAGTTGTGACTCCTAGAACACTTCATTATTGCTTCCAACTGACTGGTCAGACATTCCATTCGTACTCAGTCTCTTTCAGTATATGACACAAAATATAAGGTATTGCATCTCTGAAGTTTCAGCAGTCATGGTCTTTAGCTCATCCATGTTTCTTGGCATGAATGGCTGAAACACCGTTTTCTTTGGTGAGTCTCCATAAAAGGATGTTCATTGTGGTGCGCCACAAACACATACAGGACAACATCAAAGAACCCTCTTCTTGAGAGTGACAAGGTGGCATGCATTCGGTCCCCGTTAAAAGAAATAATAAGAGGAATGACACAAACCTGCTTGGTTTACAAATTCCAATAGAGTCTTAACAAACCAGTTATAAATATTTTAATATATTGGAAAAGCCGCTCTAGTTGTAAAGACTTTAGATTTTATTCCCAAGTGTAAAAAAAGTAAAGCTATCCCTGTAACAGGCCATGAAGGCCCATAGGGTTGTGAGATGTTGAGGGTCCCACATTTATTATAAATATTGTATGTATACATTCTAACTTTTAGAACATGTATTGTAATAGTGGCTTCTAACTGTATGGATATAAAGGTGTTCCTCTGATGATGGTCTCCGAAGACCGAAACTTGTAAGGGCATGAATAATTGAAATAAGAAAAATCTTCACCAGTCACACTAGACAGAACTGTGTAACGTTTCATGAGAGAAAATCTGTACTTGGATCTGATTACATATCAGTCAGCAGGAATTAAGACCCCATTAATTAGAAAACAATCAGTATTTTCTTTCATATCACCAAGTTCATTAGCAATATAAGGAGTATTTACAATAGGAACTTGTATTTCTTATGAAACTGATAAATACTTAGTACTTGAAATTCTTAATTTTGCAGGATTTTAAATTTTTAAAATAACATGTATGTCTGTTTTGTCACAGCTGTGAACCTAGGTACACTAGAACTGACTCTGTTGTATAATCCTATGAAAGCTGCTTTGACCTGCTCACTACATCGTGCCAAGGTAGGAGGAGCATCACAGAAAAGTACAAATTATAACTTGCAAACTCAAATTACATGATTATCTTGTAATTTTTATCTCTGCTTTATGTTTAGGGTTTAAGACCTATGGACATCAATGGCCTTTCTGATCCCTTCTGCAGACTGACTATATTGCCCACAGGAGGCAAGGTGAGAGAATGTATCACTGTGAACATCATCATGATCCAGTTATGATGTCCAAATCTCATCTCTCCTTCCATATGTTCCCCTCCTGTACTAGTCTGCTTCTATATATATTGTATGTGTTTCCTCACTTTACCTCTCCACATAGTCCTTACCTTACTCAATAATATGTCTTTCACTTTTTCACTTTTAATGTTTAAAAAAAATTGTATCCTCACATTCTCCTCCTCTTCCTCCTCTTATTTCCAGCATTTTTTCCATTTTATACAGGTCACCTGACAAAAATATTGTTCACTGCTTCGAATTTGCTTCTGTCTCTCTTTGTCAGGTTCTGTATTCCAGTGATAGATGTTAGTATTCATATTGGTTAAAACATACTTCATAGATTCTTGTTTTATATTGTTCTGGGATCTCTCTTCCGCAATATTCCTTTTATAATTACAAAAAACTTGGACTTTTTTTGTATTATTTTGTTGATAATTCTGTTGTCATCTGCCATATCAACATCACTTTATCCTTAATGTCATAAACATTTCTTGTAATGTTTCTACTTTTATATATTTCCTTATGCTGTATTGTGTAAAATTATACATTAAATTATATGAACTGGTGCTGGTCACAGTAGCCGAGCGGTCTAAGGCATGTACTGTCTTCGATCGCTTGGAAACTGGGATCATGGGTTCGAATCCCAGTCAGGGCATGGATGTTTAGTTTGTGTGTGCGCGTTTCTCCATGTTTGTGTACAGGTAGAAGCCTTGCGATGAGCTGATCACCTGCCCAAGTAGTCCTACCAAATGTGTAAGATCTAGAAAAATCAAAGTGAACGGAGAAGTTCATGGAGGTAGGCCTAGGCTCACTGGGGCTGTAGTGCCAAGGAAAAAGAATGTGAACTAGTATAATTAGCATCATACTGTCAGATACTGGATGATGTCATGAGAACTTTTTGGGAATCATTATACTGGTGTGGTATGGTGTATGTCAAAATAGGTACAGTCATGTGTATAGTTACATAACAATCACAATTACAATACAAAGCAACAGCTAGAGATTTCCTTCTCAGTGAATTGTAATCTTATAAGTCTTCACCAATCTGAAGGGGAAGACTAAAGTATTTGCAGTAAAGTCTGCACCTGTGCCGCTATATCCACTTATAGTGCCCTGGGATTGAACCCAAGCCTCCACTGCGAGAAGCTGGTGACTAACAACCTGGGATATGACATGGCCATTGTAGTTTGGTATATAGGTGCTAGTGTTTTGGAGGAACACACTGCCTCAATTTGGAGAGCTGAAGAAGCCTGCCCACCAGACTACACATTGTACTGATGAAGACAATAATCTCTCACAAAAAATATAGCTAACATATCTGTAGATTAAGATCAGTAATTATGTAATTTAATTATATCATGATAAGTTGATAATAAATAAATAATGATTTAACAATCACAGCTGTGCAGTCAGGGTCTGAAGGGGTCATTGAATTAGCTTGTTAATATTTTGTTTTGAGAGATTCTGAAATGTAAAAAGAAAAGGTAAAGCTGTCCCTGTAACAGGCTGTGGAGGCCCATAGAGTTGTGAGATGTCAAGGCTCATACATTTTCTAGGCCATCAGCTCACAGATAGCAATGAGGTCAGCCTTATGAGCTGGCTGCCTTAAAGTTAATTGAACAGCACTTGTTATCTGATTCTCTTTTATATTTACAGTCAAATAGACTGCGCACAAAAACAGTTCACAAGACACGGAATCCAGAATTTAACGAGACGTTGACGTTCTATGGAGTGACAGATGGAGATGTGAGGAGAAAGATATTACATATTCTTATTCTTGGTAAGTTATAGTTGATCCATCTGTTTTAGAAATGACCAGTGGGTATCTGTAAGGTCAGAATCAAGTGATGCATAAATTCATATGCTTTCACATTCACGTCTTTAAGAAATTATCATATGTTTTGTGAGGAAGATCATACACGTACTATGATTTATGTGATGAAAATGTATTTGTTCTAGATGATGATAAATATGGCCATGACTTCATAGGTGAGGCTCGTGTTCCTTTGATACATCTGAAGCCACAGGAACCTAAACATATGAATATCTACCTGGAAAAACATTACCCGGTAACATTTTTACTTTAGACAGCATTATAACTAATGCTGATAATAAATTAACTATTACTTATTTAAATAAAGTGCAGTGATTTGGAGATAATATTTAACATTCATATTTCTATTATTTTAGTATTCTAGTATTTCTGTGTTTAATCTTGCTTGGTTGATAAAAAATTATACTTCTGAAGGTAATTTACATCCACATCTTCATCCTTGGAATGCAATAGTAACCAGATACTTTATCAGTCCTTGCTTTGTGTGCAACTCTGATCATATTAATTGATTGTGATTAGGTGGAGGAAGAAGATGAGGTGTGGGGAAATGATACATGGACGCGTGGACAGATCCTAGTAACATTGTGTTATTCAACACGTCGGCGGGCGCTTGTGGTGGGCATCGTACGTTGTGTTAATCTTCCGCCAATGGACAGCAATGGCTTTTCCGATCCTTTTGTCAAACTGTATGTTCCTTTTTTATTGATTATTATATAGTGATTATTTTTTTATTTTGAAAAGGATGCAAGAAATATGTAATAGGAAGATCATAGTCTTCTGGGATATGATGTCATATACTCTGATGGAAGGTTACGAAACATTTTGGAAGAATCTCCTGCCTCCATCTTTACTCTGAACCATACAACATCACATCTCAGTAGACAGTCACTGACACAGGAATCTCAAACTAAATATGTAATAAGCTTTATGGAGGAATGCAAGAATTATTATTATTATTTATCATTTTCTGTTGATCCATACTGGTACAACCACTGGATATAGAAAAGTCAAAAACATATTACAGTTTTTTCATTCCATCCATCTTCACAAAGTTCTGTTCTTTTGGCCTCATTTACAATGTTACAGGCTTCATAGAGGATTTCTATTATAGAACATCATTACCTGCAGAAATTTCCTCATATAATGAAATGCGCATATATATTGTAATGTGTTTACATTACTGAATACGCCGTAGAGATCGTTAATTGGTTTATTCAACAATCTACAAGAAACGGCTACAATTAATTATCACACAGTTGCGGGGTTTCACACTTTATAACCCTAATCGCATTAATCTGTTAACACTGTTGCGGGGTTTCACGATTTATAACCCTATGCGCAAATCAGTTCACTCTNAGCCAGATCCTTTCCACCGTAAATATAAGACTTCAGTGAAGTGGAAGAACCTCAATCCAGTGTTCAATGAGGAGTTTGTTTTTGAAACAAAGATGACTGAACTTCCAAAACAAGCATTAGAAATTACAGTTTGGGATAAGGATTATGGAAAGAGCAATGATTATCTTGGTGAGTCTCTGACAGTTACAGCTTTGTGATGACAAGATATTATAGTTTGTTTGTTTATTATTAGGGAAGAGTTCATTGTCATCTTAATTGCTTCATTTATAGTGCATTCTGTCAAATTGTTGAATGTATACTGTGTACTTTTATGGTCTTTTTTTTTTCATTTGACACACAACAGCATGTTTCATATTGGCAGATTTTGATGAAGTTTGGCTCTGAAAACCCTGCATGAATTTAACTTTGTTTAATATGAGCTCAGCATAAGCCATCAAACTCAAACTGAACTCATCAGTTTTCTCACAAATGGTTTAACAAACAAAACATTGGAGCTTTACATAAAATATTGATATCATTAAAATGTATGACTTTATTTAACACATTTTACTATATGGTAAATGTGTAGTTAACTGCAGGTATTGGCAAGAAAGCTGAAGTTGTCCCTCTGTGTTGTTAAACATTGCACAATGTTCCATCAAGTGTTGGGAAATTCATGAGTAGGTGAGCAGCTGAAGGCTTCTCAAGAAGGACTCAGCTCCATGGAGTTACTTAGTTAGTTACATAAACTCACTAATTAATATCTATATACATAGACTTTTTACACACATACAAATAATTGGAACTTACTGTACTGCTTTAAATTTTTAAAAGGATGTATAACTTGTATTGCACACCTGTGGATATTTTGAATGTAATAAGTCCTAAAAATCTTCATAACTCCATATGTCATAGGACCAAGGAGCTAGTAAGAGGTGAAGACATTACCTTGACATTGAGATCACTGAATTGTAGTATTTCAGAGTCATGGCCAGGGGCAGATGGCACATGTCCATGGTTTCCATGTTTGGCAAATAATTGTTCCCATTTGTTTTATGTGTATAAAAAATGAATGTTGGACAAGTGTGCATGGGCCAAGGGTTGCTGTATAACACATTTGGAAACTCCATCTTTGGGTACTCTCTTCATTCTCCTTAATTTTTAATTTGTTTAGTGTGCTGACAGTGACAAAATAAGTATTTGTGTGAGCTGTGAACCCATGTACCAGCTATGTCCTCATATTCCTGAACGTATTTTGTGTAACATTATTCTTAACATTCAGGTGGCTTGCAACTTGGATGGCACTCAAAAGGAGAGCGCCTGAAGCACTGGGTGGATATGATAAAGTTCCCTGATCACAAACATGAAGGTTGGCACAACCTTGGAGAAGATCAGCTGTCTGATTAGTTCTCAACCCAGGATTATCAAGAAATGAAACTAGAATTCTAAATACAAGCGCCTGCATAAAGAAAAATATAGTAAGACACTGGTTTCCATTGAGTTCCTTGGTTTGTCAAATATAAAATAATTAAAATACTGTTAAATATATTTCAGGCAAACTGCACCCAATTTAGAATACAATTTACCATTTCTGTAAATTTTATTTTATTAGTATTTATATAATATAACCTGTTGAAAAGTTAACCCTTTCAGTGTTAACCTATACATATTCTCAGGCTATGCATGCTGACCATATTGTGTGCGTAACATTAATTTTAATGCCTATTTTAGGAACAGTGCTTAAGTTAACTTGTTTGAATCTGAACCCAGAGAAATGCCAGGTCAAAGTTGAAGCCCTAGTTATGAAGCAAGCTTATTGTTATTGTGTTAATGAATCAGCCAAATTACACAACTTAGTAGTGGAGATGGGTAAGGTGTTTGGAGAAAAATCTATCCCAATGTCACCTTATCCAAGACAAATCTCACAGTCACTGCACTGGAATTTAATTAAAGTCTCCACCACAAGAAGCTGATATCTAACTGCTTGAGTTATGGCAGAGCTCCTAGTAATAATACTGTAGGCTTATGGCAGCTGACATAACATTATAACCAAGGCATGCCTTTCTCTTCATAAGTGAACAGAAGAATATTTATAAGTAGTCAGTTTATTTTCCAGAGACAGCTTTTGTTCAGGTTACAGCATTGAAAGTGTTAACACTTGCTTGGAATAATGGTGGTGGATCCATAGGGAAAGGTGGGGTGGGGGGGTGGGGCATGAGCTTGCTAAATTGTTGGACATGAGGCAGACTCCACCCTAGAAACTTGATAAATTATGCACAAAATGAAATGCTCATAACAGACCACACAGAATATTATATTATTCTAATTGTATTCCACTAAAACCAGTTGGGCCCATATCATTTATTAGGACAGAAACTGAACAAAACTAAACACAGCTGTGTAGAACACAAACGCATGTATGGATATCAGCTGGTCTGATGAAATCTCATGAAAAGACAGATATGGAACGCTGGTATTTCAGTGTTTAAATTGCAAGAAGGATGAGAGTCTTCAATGGAGTTCAAACATTTGTCATCTTCCCTGTCTGTGTTGCCCCCCCCCCCCCCCCATCAGACAGTTCCACCATCCTGATTTAAGGCCATATATAAACAATTCCTACAAGGATGTAGGTGAGTGAAAAAGAATTATAATATATTTTGTTTTAATTAGAGTGTGTATCATCCATATATCACATCAAATTTTTCTCTTCAGGAAACATAACATATCAACTTCGCCTGGCCAAACATTTCAGGAATACCAGAATTTCAGGGTTCTCAGAATTTGTCCATTTGTATTTGAAGTATTTTTTACATCTCTGTATATATTTGTTTTGTATATTGCTTTCTAATGAGAATTTTCTTAAGGTAGCGCTTTTCACATGTCACAGCAAGTGACAAACTGGTTCAGGAATCTCATAAATGGGCTCCATTCATGTATCAATGGTTCCCATAACTTTTGTATAGAATGTAATTTATTTTGAAATTGTAATATAGGTGTGTGAAATGGAGAAATTAATTTTGTCATTGTTGTTGTGTTCCCTTTATTGGAGTGTATTTCCTTCTTCAGGTGTACACTGGTGTTAACATGTGTATAGAGAAGGGGTGATAAAAGTTTATTGTATCGAACAGGTAGGTGCTGGAAACCATTTTATCGTCCTACAAGCTATTTTTAATATGACTACTTACCTCTTTTTAACTTGTCTATTCATATATCCTATCTGGTCTACTGATATCTCACTGTTCGTCCATGTTACATCCATGCGCATTCTTACAAAGCTTTGCCTACATTCATTGACTGAACTTTCCCCTATGGGAGTTCTCAAATATTGTATGTTTTATAGTCAATATCAGAGCATGGTTTTCAATTATACCCATTTTAGTCATTAGATTATCGCTGAAGGGGTGACAGGAAGAGGAGTGGTAGCTGCCAGGATGTTGTGTAAATGCGCCACTCTGTGCAAAAGAAAAACACATAGTGTCTATAGTAATTCATCTAACAGTAATTATTAAAGGAGTTTTGGGTCAATGTTTTCTATTAAGTGGATAACTACCATGCCAAACGAGGGTGCTTTCCACAGCAAGAGGCATGGAGTGTGTGGTTAAAAAAACTGATGCTGACATTATGTTTGTTGCTGTTTTTTTAAATCTATATTATTATTAAATGAGCACTATGATTGTTATAAGTATTTTGGCTTTGGTTTGATTGCATTTGTTCTGTATTATGTAAGAATTATTTTGTCTTCCCTGCATTGTGGTTTCAGTTCTTATCGTAAAAAATTATGTAATCAATTAATATAGGTTTCGTGAATATCTGTGTAATAACAAATAACAATATTTCATTATCATATATAACCATTTAGCTCACCCTGAATACTGAATAGATGTGTTTCATTTAATTAGCTCAGCAACACAGTATTATTCTGCAATTATTTTTAAATTCCATAGGTCCTGACATGTTCAGGTGTGTCATTCATTCTACTAATTTGATCAGTGACTGAAGAAAAAGAGAGGAAGACATCTGGTTTAGAACTTTATGAAGGTCTAAAATTGCCAAACATTTGTTGAAAATAATTAAATGTACAAAATCAATAAAGCAAGAAAGGAAAAGAACTTACTGACAAAGTCCATTATGATATATAATGACTAAAGTTTATGTTACCACATTTACCAAACAGGTTGGCTCAGATGATGACACTTCTGCCTTTTATTCAGGAAGTGTCTGGTTTGAATCTCAGCCATGACACTGACTACCCTGACTGAAGTTCTTTCTGTGGTTTACCTCATTCTGTCCAGGCAAATTGGAGGATATTACTTTAAATTAGGCTGCATCTGCTTCCTCTCATATCCATTTTAATTCATTATTCACCATCATCCAGTCATTCAATGTTATATATTCTGAGCTACTGTGAGCATCATTAACTAAATAAAGAAATAAAGAAGTTGTCATACTTGGCATTATCCAATGGGAGCAGATAAATTGGAAATTTGTATTATGTTTGGTAACTCATGGTATGTGATAGTATTTCATATAATTTAAATTCATTGGTAGATGAGGGAATAAGGCTAGAATGGTACTGAGAGTGTTATAATTCTTCCTCTTTGTACAGAGTCCTTTGTAATTTCACTAAAATTGGCAGATTTTTGCTTGTTCCAAATTTTCTATCAGATATATTGAGAAGCACCCTCTTTACTACAGTTTTGGACAGTACATTAGTTACTTTATCATGCCAGGTTAGATATTTAATGGAATGAATAAACAACAGTGTCTTTTTCAGCTGAACACTTGGACAACTTGAAAGTGTAAAATTATTAAAAATGTGAACAAGTTTAACAACATGTTGTAATTTCTCCTATATTCTTGAGATTTTCTAACAATGTAGTCATTTTACTTCAGTTCAATCATGATGTGGGCAAAGAAGTCTAATATTTGTTAGAACCACTATATCATATTTAATATTAATGGGATATTTATTGCATAAATGTTTTTTTATATTTAAGATCTGTGATATTTTATTGAGTCTGTATACATGTTAGTAAAGAATAGTAATGGTTGATTAATTATTACATTTATATTTAAAATGGATTCTGACATTGTTAAACGAAAGAATGTTCAGTACAATCAACAGGCACAAAAGAAGTGTCGCAGAGACTGAATATCACATAGATTTCAAACCAAACTTAATTTACAGTGCTTAAAGGAGCAAGGAATTTGCATTCCTTGATTGTGCATGGCACACTGTGAAGTGTGACAAGCTATTGAGCCCATGGGTGGCAGACAGATGGGCAATGTTTCATTTCTTCATAGAATGAGCTAATTTTCTATTATCTGGCAATCCTGAAACAAAAAAGTTTCATAATTCTAGATACTGATGACAGATTTCTGAAAATGTAGTCATAATTTAACGATTATATGGACTACCTAGTCACCACTGATTTCCAGAGCAGTTCATGATTATTTCTAACTATTATTCTTCCAAAGACCTAAAAATGTTTCCATTTCAGACAGTTTTAATTTAATACAGATGATGATGAAGCCTGTTGCTTTAAACCTGTCAGGCTGCAGACTGCTTACAAAACTGGTGTAAAATATGAGTATCCTTGATAACAAATTTGTTGGTGTTTGTGATTCAGTTTCCTAGGGTATTCTAGGTTCTTTTAGGTCTAACATTAGGAACTCTTCAGCTTCTGTGAAAGAACCGAAACATTGTCCAGATGTAATAAAGCAATCATTTACCTATATGCCACCCAAACATTCAGAGAACTCAGAAATTAGTTTTACCAGCAGGCCTATCACTATTGTTAATATAATATAAAAATGTATGGTTCATTTTGTACTATTGGGGACTCATAACCATTGATGTCGTTTTATTAGTGGCAGAAAACAAGTAGGTGGAGTTACAGTATTTGCTTGGCAACACTTTTCTCCTGCAAGACATACAGCACACCTCAGATATGGTCATGGATATCAGACCATAACAGTAATGGGTTTCATTTTGGGGAAGGTTGTCGGTTAAACAGTATTCTGTTAAATATCAGAAGTGTACTTTCATACATAATCTTTTAAAATGAGTATTATTTACTTATTATTTTCATAGCATTATTGGTAGATATTATTAGTGCATTCACTATTAGGTAATTATCCAGTGTTCAGAGACATGCCTGTGACATATCTGGTGCAAAGTGCCATGATACCATTTGAATATTCATGGGGCATCAGAGTGATAGATCAAAATTTTGCTGGTAAAGTAACATTTTACATGAAACTAACATTGTACTGTGAGATCTGAAGCTATCATAAGGGTGAGCATGAAGATTATGGTTTTCTCAGATGTGACATTTTGTAATTTTGGAGCATGTAACAGGATAGCATCAAGAGTGAGGCAGTTGGTTTCATACCCTTCTATCAATGAAATGAAATGAAACGAAATATGTAGCATATCTCAGAAAACTGTAATCTTAACATTACATTGTTACTAACTTTTGTATGCTAATCCTGTATTTAAATACATGTTAGATTAATAGTGTCAGATATCTGAAAACAAAGAGCTAGGTGCACAGAGCACACATGTCTCCATATGCAGGATGTACTAGTGACCCTTTCTTTGATGTTGTGTATATAGTTGTGACAGACCATTATGTGTAAATATAAAATAAGAAGAAACTTGCATACCTCAGGACTAATAACTACTGTGACAGTGTATACATATCTTGAACAGCTTACAGCACAGCCAGGACAGACAAACAGAGATATTATAAGGGCCTAGAATCCTTATAACATAATCAATTGCAAGCTTTGGGGAACCCTATTTAGGAGCAAATAATTGTTATTTCCTCTTTTATAACAAAAAGAAAAATATGGGGTTAATTTTCAGATTAGCAGGATGCTTGGTCCTGGATTGAGAATCACTTGCATAAGATCTGGAAGTTTTAACCAGTCCAGTGATATCCAAATGGTGTATTTAACATAATTAACTTGATTATTGTTGATTGAAATGCTTCTGTGCATACAACTACTGTATATATCGAATAGTGATGGGGTTAAAATAAATAATTAAAGTGATAAATAAGAAAAAAAATCAAAATAGAAAATGAAGCTACATACCTGACAAGGCTACAGTACATTTGAATGATACTAATAATGTTGATCTAAGCAGTGCTTGAATTGGCATGTGAGGAAGTGGGGTGCTAATCCTCTTCTTAGCAGAGCACAAAACCAACATACACTATGGGTATTCCAGACTACACCAACAAATTTTGTACCATACTTATTCCTCCTCTGAAAGTCAGCATAATCAGTATAGTGACTAAGCTAGGGACTGAAGGTTCAACTTCTGGCAGGGGCAAAGATTTCTTTCTTCACCACAGTGTGAAGGCTGCTTATGAGGCTCACTCACCCTTCCATCCAAAGGATATAAGAGGTTCTTTCCCTGGTTTAGAACAGCCAGGGAGTGAAGCTGACCCACTCACCAATGCTGAGATTAAGAATGCGTTGAGGTATACCTCCAGTCCTTCATATGTGTTCATGGTATGATGCTTAATTTAGAACCTGTACCGTTAATTAAATTATCCCCCCATACTTCACAAGAATATGATGTTGAAAAGGCCTCTACTGGCATGCCATTCCTACAGAGTTTCATTACATCTGACTAATTTATTAGAAGTTGTCAAAAGCAGAATCGTATGTCACAGTCTCCTTCAAGTCTGACCCCCCCTCTAGAGGGCCTCTTGAGACTGAAAATGAAAACCATCGATCCTGGAGCCTACAGAACAGCCACAGATATACTGCCTTTTTTTTTATAAAGAAATGTAATGATATCCGGTATACTTTGCAAAATTAAACTGTAACAAAACAACAAAAATTGTTGCTTTTCTTTTCAAATCTGTACACTTTTTGCATCATACCCTTCAATTTTTCAAATTTAAGGATTTAAAAAATTATGAGTATTATCATTTTCTATCAACCTAAAACGATTTTATATGTTTGTGTATCCTTTTTGCATCATACCCTTCAGTTTTCCAGATTCAAGGATTTAAAAAATTGTCATTTTCTATCAACCTAAAAATAATTTTATGTCTCTATATTTATGCAACATTTCTCCTTGGCATGTCATTCAGTCTGGCTCTGGGGCCTCCTATCCAATAGGTATGGGTTCTCTTTCCCCAGGTATATGGTCAAGGCATGAAGCTGACCATTCCCTTCCAACTACTGTTGAAGTCATAAAACGTGGATCTATACATTCACTCCTCCATGTCTTTCTGGCATAGTGCTTAATTAGTTAAACACAGGAATGACTTTACCTTTTTTTTAGCCTTCTTTCCTTATTTTGAAAAAATAAAAGTACGCTTATTAGATTGCCTTGCTGTGTTATCCCTCCTATCAGCTTTTGAATGCCAGAACCACTGTATGTGAATGTCAGTATGTATGGTGCCTGAGCCCATCTGAATGGCATACTTAATAAATCCCTCGCATAAGTCTGTGCATCTGTATGTGTATCCCCACTACTGTTGCCAGGCAGTGGCATGGCAAGTCCGTTTCCATGGCAACAAATACACGAAACAAAGAAGAATTTTTAGATGTGTCATTTTCTGTGCGGTCCATGGGGTATCAAAGAGAGTCTGTGGGTTTGTCTGTGTGCCCCCTTCCCCCTCATAGCTAGGCAATAGCTCAGTACAGACTTTTCTGTGCAAAAGAATTGTTGGAGGCATCATTTTGTATGCAGTGTGTGATGTATCAAACGAAAGTAAGCTATTAGTTCTTCCCAGAACTTTTTGTTTACTTTCCAAACAGAACTTAAAAACTATGTCTGCTGGTACCTTCATTCTGGTGTCAGCCTCAAGGTGTAAATATACAGCACACCAGAGATTATGTGATTTTAATAAGTTTGCCAGTAGACATCATTTGCTGGTTTGTGTACTAGCATGTACAGATTAAAAAAAAGAAGCAGTGTGTATGCCTTTCTGTCCACACACACATGCGCACACACACATGAAAATAGTGTATGTGAAGGGAAAAGATCATGTTCCATGAAGATTGTCATGTGGGAATTTTAGTTTTCACACTGGTTAATATTCACTTAATAGTTTTGTAGGTATTACACAAAGTGAAATGGTAAACATTATCAAACTTCAGAAAACCTGATGAGCAAACTGGCTCAGGGAGTAATGCTTCTGACTTGTATTCAGGTAGTGTCTAGTTTGAATCTTGACAGGGCCAAAGACTACCATGACTGAGGTATTTTGTGGTTTTACTCATGCAAACTGGAATAGTACCTTAAATTGGGCCATGAATACTTCCTTCCACATCCTTGCTAATTCATTATTCATTTCAATCCAGTCATTCAGTGTATATAGTCCAAAGCACTGTTCAGTAATTAACAAATAGATATGATTTGTTTCATTCTGGTCCGTCACACTAACAATTACAAAGACAAAACTCCGTCCAGTGTGACACGGCACAGCACACTCTAGAACAGTGAAAACAACACAGCACGCCATGAACAAATACAGGCCGATACCAAGGTAATCCTTAATATAAATATATATATACACATTAGGGTCACTGAAATAATACACTACCCATAATATATTTGCAGAATCTCCTTCTAAAGATAAACAGGCAGCACAAGTTCAGCCCCCGTCAAGAAAGACGATAGGAGAATGGACATGAACCTACTTGATTTATAAATTTTAACTTAAACAACAAAGTTTTAAAAACTTTAAAAATTTTAATATACCAGGAAAGCTGCTGTGATTGTGGAAAAGTTGGATTTTGTGTATACTGTGAATTCTAGGCATTATGTGTGTATGTATTTTAGCACTCAAAACACCCATTGAGATAGTAGTTTCCAAATAAGTATCGATGTTCCCTCTGAAGATGGTCTGTAAGGACTGAAACTTGTAAGGGTACTAAGTTTTCAAGCAGTAGAAACTTAAATAGTCACACTGGATGGAGTTTTGTCTTTGTAACAAATAGATATGTTAAAAATACTGTTGCATTTGAGGGTCCCCACTGGTGATGATGAAGAATATGGTCCTCTGGGTTGAAACACTGTGTAGTTCAGAGAGAGCTCAACATATTTTAAGAACATATCACTCCCATCTTCAGGGCCAATGTGTTCTTCTAAAACATGCTCTCTCCAAATCACATAGTGTTCCAACCAAGATCATACTCTTCCTGTTCAGAGGAATGTAATGCCTCCTCCTTCAGGTTTAGAATTTCAACCCTGAAAAAGGAGGTAGGAAGTTTTTCTGAAGTGTTAGTAAAGTGCATCACATCTAGCTGGTGGTGAGGGCACTGCTTACGATATCATTTGGAATTGGGATTTATATGTTATTACATATTATTGGAACAAGGCAAAGTATTGTGACTAATACAAAGTAACATCCTGTTTGTCATGGCTTGGCAAAAGAAAGCTGTAAAACCATGCTAGTCTAAAATGTTGTTACAATACTTCTCATCTCTGATTTTGCCACAGGTATGTTTTATATATATATATAAAATCATAGATTCTCATTTGTGCCAGTATCTCTTTTGTCAGAAACTGTCCTTTTCACAGGTAATGGCCTTGAGATGAATGCTGTGTAATATGCTGTAACACTAAGTTTCAACATCTGTACAAACATCTTTTGCTTTATGTTTTTATCTATAATTTGTAGGAGTGCAGGTATTAGCTATAACCAGCTGAAATTTATCAATTGTTAATTAATTTAAAGTAATTTAAAGACAATCAGTTATGGTACAGAATTTTATTTCAGCTGAAATAAATGTCTGATAGTTCATTTTTATTAGCCTACTTTCCTTATTTTTAAAAAATAAAAGTAAGTTTATGAAATCACCTTGCTCTCTGTGCATGTTTATCCCCTCTAACTTTTGAATGCCTAAAACAATCTTTATGAAACTTGGTATGTATATCATGGCACCTGAGTCCATCTAAATGGCATATCTCATAAAGCCCTACCATAAGTAATATCATCATTACAATCTCTCAAAGTTCTGGGCCAAACCTTAATATTACATGAATGCTTGAACTGCTTGTCATGAAACGTCATATGTATATCATGCCACCTGAACCCATCTCAATAGTGCACTTTATAAATCCCTCCCATCAGTAATACCATCCTTTCAAATTGTTGAGGCAAATCATGTTACATCTTGAACGCCTGTACCAATCTTCAGGAAAATGGCACATCATACCACATGGCATACTTAAAAGTAAAATACTTATGTCAGCAGTACCAACAATACTGCCATAAAATTTATTGAGGCAATATCCTTAATATTACTTGAATTCCTGAACCACCATCATGGAATATCATATGTGTATCATGCCACCTGAGGCCATCTCAGTGACATACTTCATTAATCCCTCCCATCAGTATACCAACATTGAAGCCTATAAAATTGTTGAAGCAATGACATTAACACGTCTTGAGTTCCTGAACTGATAGTTGTGATATTTAGCACATATATCATGCCATATGAAGCCATCTCAATGGCATACGTCATACATTTCTGCTATCAGTAATACCAACACTGCAGCCTCTCGGAATTGTTGGGGGAAATAACCTTAATTTAACTCACATGCTCCAACCAATCTTCTTGAAATTTGGTATGTATATCATGCCATCTCAGGCCATCTCAACAGTGTGCTTCATGGATCACTTTCATTAGTAATACCAACATTGAAGCCTTTCAAATTGTATTATCTTATTCACTTTATTATGCACATACAAGGTGTGGCAATAAAGAAACCGGATTAATGCTCTAACCCTTTATTAAAAAAAAATCAGACAGTCGAAATGTTATCCCCTTCAATGTAGTCCCCTCCCCGATCCCTACACCGCTCCATGCGAATTTTCCACTGTTGGAAGCAGTGCTGCAGGTCATCTTGTGTTATGCTCTTCAAGAGTTGCGTCGCTTTTGCTTTCACTGCATCCACGGACTCGAACCTGGTCCCTTTCAGCGCAGACTTGATTTTTGGGAAGAGAAAAAAGTCGCACGGTGCTAGGTCCGGAGAATACGGTGGATGTTCCATCACTGGAATGTTGTTTTTTGCCAAATACCTCTTCACAGATAGCGCGTTGTGTGCTGGCGCGTTGTCGTGATGAAGAACCCATGAGGCATTCTTCCACATGTCTGGTCTCCTTCGTCGCACACGTTCACGGAGGTACGTCAAAACATTTTTATAATAAACCTGATTGACAGTCTGACCTTCAGGCACCCAATCAATNCACTTTTATTGGATTTTCTGTTTTTCTAGGCACTAATACATGTATTACTTGTGTACCAAGTTTCATACCTTAAATATATTTGGAAATGCCTTAAGTCAAGATTGGCAGGCAAAAATGCAATATGGTATGGTTTTGATGACCGCACTGCAGGAGTTACATGTGGTGACTTCCAGATATGTTTCGAACAACTGTATGAATGCTGTCAAAAGTCCATGCTTTTCTTAATTATTATTATTATTGCACTGGGGTGAGACTGTATCCCTTGGTACTTAGATTATAAATGGTCCCACTTTACCAACCCTGAATGATACACAAGAGAACACAGCATTGGTAAGTCAAAACAAATATACTAGGAGAAAAACTTGCAACACTGCCACTTTGTTCACCAAAAATCCTGCGGATTTCCTGGGACTGAACCTGAGCAGTTCAGCTGCCAGAAATTATTTTGAAGGTGTTGTATCCAAGATAGTTATTACTGCACCCAAATTTGAGATACATCTCCTTTAAAAATATTTTAAGCTACCATGTATCTTATGACTAAATTCCGAGGCCAGGTACCTTGTATATATTTATTCTTTTTCCATTCTTGTTCCTATCTCTTCAACTGTTCAGTCAGAATTCAAACAGGAAAAAAAAAAACTGCTGCTAGTTCCTTATGTAATGATTGGATTCATTAATCCGCACCACATTGGCATAGGTGGAGCTAATGAGAAATTTTAGAAACACTACTCTTAACCCATGGTGCAAAGTATCCGATAACTCACAGCTAATGTGTAAAACACAAATGGATACTTGAAAGTGTTGTCACAGGGGTGTCACGTCACTTCTGATCAAGCTCATGTGCGACACAGCTCAGTCTAGTCGGTCACAGCAGTGAAATCCAAAAACATACATCCTCACTATTATCCTTTCAGTTACAGCTTGTTGTTTAAATTATTTTTTGTTACATCAATATATCCCAAAACATTTCACTCTTCTTGAGAATCTATAACTGTTATCACACAGGATTCTGTGTAACATTTTCAGAAGAAGTAAAAGAATATAAGCAAGGACACTGTCATTCCTCCACTCACTGCTATGGAGTGTCCAACACTGTTCTTCCTTTTGGGCAAACCCTTAGGGCAGGTATTCACTGCCAGTTCTCGGTCATGCTGTAGGACTATATAGTGAGGATTCTGGTAATAGTAAACAATAAAGAGACGTGCGACCCTAATGGGAGGAATAATTAATGCAACCTGTCACTGCTATGAACAGATATGCAAATAAAGTATCATTCCAAGAGTATATTTACTCCTAATCTTTAAATATCAAAGATTATCTGATTGTAACAAAGAAGTGATCAACTTGTAATAATTTCATGCCATATGATGGTTAAAAGAATGTGACTTCGGACAAGAGCGGAGAAACAATATTGGACACTGCTGCTGACCAACCTTGACAATCTAGTATTCCCGAATTTTGTAAATTTGTAACTGTGAGGTGACAGCGGAACAATCCTTTTTGATTCCTGTACATCCTGAATCTGATGCTTCTGACATGACTACTGCACCATTGCCTCATTCTGTATTTTTTAAAGCATAAAGATGTGTTATTCAGACATCAGCTGTTCATTCTTCCACGTTCCACAAAATAAAATTTCTATTGATTCCATCTGCAAATGTGTTCTGCTAGCATATATTTCTTTTTGCATAAAAAGGCTGCCAGGAAACTTTCTTACAAACCTTTGTTTGAAGGTGATTTTACTGATTGCCCTAGTGTGTTCAGGATGGAGGAATAAATTATTTTAAAGATAATTTTAAGTTTTGGTATTAATACTTGGGTATGTGAGCATGCATACAGAAAAATGCCAGGGTTGGCAGAAGCTAGGCCTAAGCCTTTACTTCACTGCCTTCATTCTGTATCCTTCAAACCCCTTCACATGCAAGCATCTCATCACACTGCAACATGCTGAAATAAACAGGAAAACAAGGTGACTCAGAATGTTTTTTGAAACATTTATTTTTTTTNACTTTACTTCACTGCCTTTATTCTGTATCCTTCAAACCCCTTTACATACAAGCATCTCATCACACTGCAACATGCTGAAATAAACAAGAAAACAAGGTGACTCAGAATGTTTTTTGAAACATTTATTTTTTTCAAAACACACAGTAGTTGAGGAAAGTCTGATAATTTGAGTTACAAATATTTTACATATTTATTAATGTGTAATTTTTACGTATTATAAAACAAAAACCACCATCAAAAATTAAGTTTGAAAATCAACTTTCTCCTATACATCAAAAACTTTGCAACTAAAATGGATACAGTGGACAATATCTGATGTTATTTGGGGTTATATGAATGTATCCATTTTAGACACAAATGGATCGACGCACAGAAAACAGACCTGCCTCATTAACGAAGGAATTCATTACAAATGCTTAAGATGACCTGCACAGAAGCAGAAACGTTGATGGAAGAATAACATGACTGCCATATGATATGGAAACACTTAAAATGATTTTTGAAAATTTTACAGATTATAGAAATAACTTCATACCCAGTGACTTAAAAAGTTTATCTTCATTTCAAGGTTTGTTACAGTTTAGAAACAAAGCTGAATTCCAGTCCAAAGTGCCTTCAGCAGTGCTGAAAGAGAACAGTGAAGAAGTGCATGCGAAATTATTACACGAAAACTATATTGGACACTGTTGCTGACCGACCTTAACAATCTAGTACGTCTACTGTCTCAGTCCAATGTGGAAACCAGTTATACGGCACATGAACATTAATCCAAAGCTGCAGCACCTGAAATGATTTCAATCAACTCACGGGTGATTACAGCTTGTCGGGTACGATTGAAGGTTAGGGTGAGTTTATCAATCATCTCTGCAGCATTCTTACTTGCATTATCCATGGCTGTCATGCGAGATGACTGTTCACTACAAGCACCTTCCTTCATTGCATAGAAGAGAAGTGATGCAAGAGAAAATTCCATATAACTCTGAAGAACTTCTGAATCCAATGAGTCATAAACATTCAACTTTGGTGCAGCTTCAATTGCTTTCAGGCTGAAAAGTGGTAGGTCTGAAGTTGTATACGACACCACAGATTTGAATCTGTTGTACACAATTCTTCCAGAGCTGAAATCATACCCACTTGTTAAAATGCTGTTTGCTAGTTTGGCAGCATCAAGAAAAGTTGGAGGCTTGCGACCTACTTCATTAGCAACAAATATAATATTCTTGCCATATATACGCTGCAAAATAGCACGAGACTTATCTCCAACACAAACAATCTTTGTGTTTTCTGGATCTTCAGACAACTCTTGTTTAATAGTACGGGACACCTGGGTATGAACTGCCCCACACAGCCCTCTATCTGAGGTAATAGCAACAACTAATTTCTGGGGAACGTCGCCTACAGGACCAACTTCAGCCTTCTCGTAGAATACTTTGGCGCCTTCACCATAAGGTCGAGCCTGCCTCAGCTCTCTTTCTGCCCTGGTGTACTTAGCTGCAGACACCATCTTCATCGATTGTGTGATCTTCTGAATGTTCTTCACAGACTTCAAGCGAATTGAGATCGCTTTTAGGGTTGCCATCCCTCTTACCTGCTGTTGCCCCTTAAGGGGAACCAAAGTACTGAACTTTCCCAGCATCATTTTGACGGTGCCCTACTGTACACTGGAAGGGTAAGGCCGCCTGGTGTGCTACTTTTTCAAGTTACACTGAAAATAAAGAGAAGGTGTAATATGGTATTATTTAATGGGCACAATATTTTCAGCGTTTTCTTTGTAACAAACTGAACAGTCTTACAAATTGCATGAATACATACAATCCTTACCAACCAACCTTCCGCTGGATAGTCTGAGGAAAAAAACGAAGAGAAAGAAGGATGCTGCCAAACGAAGAAAGGCAACATTCCCCACAGAAACGCGCGACATTAAAAAACATATTAAGTTTAGTCTTAATAGAATGGTCTTGGTATATGAAATAAAGAGTAATATTAATTTACTGTTTATACAGTGTTACTAAACTTCACATTTTATTGAGAATGTGTTCGTTGTCATACACATTTAATTAGGTGGTTTAGTAGAACACCAATACTGTAACATTATATGTGATAATATCAAAAGATATTCAAAATATTAGACTTGTTATAGTAATAATTAGTTAGTGTCTTGAAGTAATGGACTGACTAGAAAACAAATTATTGAATGTAAAGAATGCGAAATTTAATTACAGTCAGTTGCACATAATGGCAGCTTTGGAACAAACTGAAATAGCTAACATCATTATCAAGTGATACCAATATTGTCGAACAAACGACATGAACGACATGAACTTTTCTAATAACCGCCTAGAGCGGTCTAGAGGTTACAATATAGTTACGGATATTATTGAAATAAGAGCTATGAAAATATGTCTCAAGCTTTATTATAAACTTTTTAGGTTATTGTGTCCGGTACAGACCGCAGAACTTGCGTAGAACAATTTAACATTAGCGTATTGGTACCTTCGTACAGGATAGTCATGTCGATTATGCTGATGTCCGTTGAGGGTGTGAAATTTAGCTTGTAAGTGGCACAGCAAATAAGGTCTTCATGCCGTTCCAGCTGGAAATTACACGAGACATGGAAGAATACGAACAGGAGGTATCTGTTGTCGATGTATACGACATTGCTTCGGAGATTGGTAAGGAGTTCGAAAAGATAATTGACGCTCACGGCACGGAAGCTGTTACCAGTTTGATGCCTAAAGTTATTAATGCTCTTGAGCATTTAGAAGGTTTAGCAACTAAAAATGAACGTGAAAATACAACTGTTCAGGAGCTGAAATCAAGAATTGCTCAACTGGAAAATGATAAAGTGGAGAAAGCTGAAGACAGACAACGTTTCGAGAAGGTAAGACGTTTTGGATATGACGTGTGTGACACTTGTAATTTTCCTAGTGATACAGGAGACCGTAATTCGGAGCTAATATCCAGAAAGGTCATTGATTGACCTTTAAAGATTGATGGACGAGGCAAATGCTGAGAGACATGAACATGATTTTCTTGACTGTGCACCTGATCTGATACTGTTGTGAATCTCTTTTGGACTGTTATGTATGAAAGTACACTTCTCTTCAAGGAACTGGAACAAATAGAGGAACACTGGCGACAAGAATCTCATGATTTGGTTGCAATGGTGACACGTCTTCAAGAGGAAAATCGGAAGCTGTCGTCCTCACTTGCTGAGAGAGAGGATCACTTGCCAGATGGAGCAGGTGATTATTTATTTATATATTTGCAATGAGAAATATGGGATCTGGCTAGTTGTGCCAGATTCCTTGAAGTTTCATTATGTAGAGTTTTTGTATTGTATTTTATATTATAATATCATGTTCTACGAGTAGGTAAGGGATAGTGACAATAGTTGACAAGTCATACCATTGAGCTGAAGGTACTCTATCGTTTTTTTAATTACAATCCAATTATTAAAACCAATCTGTAGATTTATGCCTATTTTTGTGCATCTAAAAATTATTCTTTAAAGTCTGTTGTAAGCAGAGAACATAGGTGATATGGTATTGCTACACTGGTTTCTCATCAGTAGTATATAAGATCACAAATGTGAAAATAATCAACATCCTCCATTGTAGGATTTGAGGTTCCTATTACTTTTAAACTGGTAGCTTGCTTGGATTATTCTTTGACCCTGAAAATGGAGGTGATATTTTCTTCCGAAACGTTGATTGACTTTCAACGGACTACACAGCCTTATATCCCAAAAGCTAGTATTCTTCACTGCCCATTGTGGTTGACCTATTAACAGCATCCTATGGTATCAGAATGCATAGTAGAAAAATACATCATAGTTGAAAAGTATGTTTTAAACTGTTTAGCTGAAGTGACCAGTCCAGAGGTAGAGGTTGCAGTGTTACAGAGGTTAAGGAATCTGATTGACCAGCAGCGAGATCAAATCCGTGCAAGAGATAGAGAGTTGAGTGCAAAGTCTGCAGAAGTTGACAATGTGAGTAAAATTTATTTTCTCATGACGTGAATGTTGAATATAGATAGTTATTTTTTTTTAACTCTGTTGACCAGTTCAGGGCTTTGCTCTTCATGGAAACTGATGTGCTGCTTGCCACGAGGTGCATACAAATTTTGCTGGTGAATCAACATGCCTGATGGCTGATAACTTTTGGAATGAAGGGAAGTAATTAACTGGTGTACTCCTTGATAGCATTATGTTTCATGGCGAGCAGTGCGGTTCATTTGTGTGAGTTTGTTTATGATTTGGCAGCTGTAGGCAGCTCCATAAGTGATTTGTTCTCAGTCATATTAGTGAGCAGTGTTGTACGTCATGGTACGTGTGTTTCTGTATGACACCTATGTGAAATATGTATCTGCTAGAAAGTGTCGGTGAAATTTTTGACATACTAAATCTTATCATGAAAGAGTTCCCAGCAGACAAGCAGTTCACAACTTGGTGAATAAACTTAGAACAGGACAAGAAAAAAAAAGTGCCTAGTGCTTACTGAGGAAAAGAAAACTTGAACATACACCTAGAAAGTCACTGAAACGTCTAGCTCAGGAGACTGGAGGGTCAAAGTCTCGTACAAGCATGGCAGCACAATTGCTGAAACTAAGACTCCATAAAACAACAGTAATCCATGCATGCCTTGCAGCTGTGCAATCCAGTTAGCAGGGTGCATTTTGGCAGTTGGTTTCTGTAGTCTCTTGTCGAAGGTGAGATCGAGCTGCATTTGACATTCTCTTCTGTTGAAGTATGGTTTCACTTGCAGGGATATATAAATACACATAATAATCACTACCGATGTTCACAGAATCCACATCTAACCTGCAAAGTCCCAGTTGCTGTCTGGTGTGCTGTAGGTGTAAGAAAGATTGTTGTACCTTTGTTTTTTTAATGATACAATTAATTGCAAATGATATCTATGTACAGAGGAACAGCATTTTCAATGCCTCTTGTGATCTGTGAATTGTAACTACTTCATTCCTTATGTTATCGGCTGTCAGGCATGCTGATTAATCGGAGGAATTCATGTGCCCCCCAGCTGGTGGTGCACTGGTTGCTATGAAGTGTAGAATCATGGAACGGTCAACAGAGTTTAAATCCACCCTGTATATGTAAGCACAAAATAAATTCTTGGAAATGGAAAGGTAGGAGAAGTCATTCCACATGGAAAGATGAAAAGCAAATTCAAATATAATAAGGAAACTGCTGATATATAAGCTGAATTTATCGAAAAAAGAAAAATAATAATAAAAATAAAGGTATCTCTGCAACAGGCTGTGGAGGCTGATAGGTTTGTGAGATGTTGAAGTTCCAACATTTTCAAGGTTGTCAGCTTACGGGCCAGCTGCCCTTTACCCCCAAGAACATTCCAAGAATATTCCTGGTACTTATTTCTTTTAGAGGCTGAGTCGACTCCAAGGCCATAGTGTGGCTAGAAGGATTAGGTAAATTGAAAAAAATTCGAAGACCTCATTGGAATTTGATCCTGTGACCTTCGGGCTTGTAGCATAGTGTCTCAACCAACTATGCTACCGTGTGCCCCCAAAGCTGAATATATGTATAAAAAATAATGAAATTAATTGAAATAATGTCTGTCACAAATGCTGAGTTTTAGAATACCTAAAGAAAATTTGTCTTGGTTGATTCTGAGGCTAGAATAAGTCTGGTGGCTCCATTGTTGGAGTAGTTGTTACTGTTAACAATGCTGATGTTGCTTAAGGTTTGGAAAATATTGTGCCATGTCTGTTGGAAGCCAGAATTGTGAAGGCAGCAGAGATAGTCATTGGTAGAGAGTGTCTCTGTAAACACACCCATTGCTAGTCAGTGGCTCAGTAACCGTCACATGATTGTCACAGCAGGCATGTATGCAACAATAAAAGAGCTGTTGGAAGCTTCGTTTCCTGTGCGGTCTGTACCAGGGCTATATAACAAGTACCAGCTGCCATTACATAAAAGTTCTGAGACAGCAGTTAGCAAAGTAGGAGTTTGGTGTGACGTGATCTCCAGCTTTGGAATCAGTCAGTTGATAGAGAGTCTGCAGGCAGACAGCGAGTTGCGAGTTGCAGTGAGAAGCTTATAGCTGAGGCCAGGGACAATTCAGGAACCCTGAGGAAGGGGAACATTTGCAACTGTCATTTATATATGAGGATGTTTGAGAACAGGGTGCTGAGGAGAATTTCTTTACCAGACAGGCATAACAAGGAGCTGGAGAAGACTTTACAATGAGGAGCTTCATAATTGTACTTCTCATAAATATTAATATGACCAGATCAAGGAAGATGAAGCTATTGGGATGTGCACTATGCATAAGGAAGGGAATTCTTTGCTATAGTCATACTGAAACTGAAAATATATTATCTGTCATGAATATAGGGTTTAAAAGTTCCTTTTATAGCTTGTTATGTTCTCCAGTGGTCTCTCCCTTCTAGCTTTCAGCACAAGTGGAGAGGCTGACAATGATTGGGAAGGAGCTTCGTAGGAAACATCGTGGTAGTCAGTCTCAAGTCCGGGGCCTGCTGGATGAGCGAGCTGACTTCTTGGCACAGTTGCAGGACCAGCATAGGGAGCTGTTGGGCCTCAAACAGAGGCTTGGTCTTGCACAGAAGGAGAATGAGGATCTTGCAAAGTCCCACGTGTGTAAACAATGTGCCTTTGAATGTCTTTACTTGAACATCCAAATCGATATAAGAAAGCCATAGAAAGCAGTCTGGGTTCACTTTATGACTGAACCGTTTGTGTTAGATTCCTTTTTGCGCTTTGCCAGCACTGTGTTTGTATGTATAGATTGAATATGACTTATACTTGTTCTCTGAGGGTGCCCAGTCTGAATCTCAGTGAGGAAGGTAGTTGAGGTTTTGTGTGATTTTCCTCAGTCATCCTGGATAAATACCAAGATAGTACCTTATTTTAGGTCGTTACTGCTATCTTCCTCATGTTTTTTAATCTTGTTCTTGGATTATTGCATTGTATGGCTGTGAGTGATGTTGTCAATGTTTTGGAGATACATGCTGCCTCCATCTTCAGGGTTGACACAGAAGATAGATGTAGTATGTACCTCTAAAACATCATCAGTATCATCCAACACCGCATGGTGTAGCAACCCAAGAACAGAATTAGCAACAATAATTAAATACTGTGTAAACCTAAAATCAGCAATTCCTCATACTTTTTACTTCGTTATTCACCAACCATCCCACCATTTGATACTGTATAATCTGAGCTATTTACAGCATTGTTAAACAGAACATTATAAAAAACAGATTAATATTTTCAGTTCAGATTGGATGTCTCCTTCCATATAGTAGTTATATTGAAACATGTTAATGAGTGAATTTAATTACACAAAATATATCCTTTGTGCAGTCAGAGGTCCCTGACCTGACAAACAAAGCTGTGTATGATCTGGAGGACCCAAACCGACCCAGATTCACCACTGCAGAACTGAAGGAGATTCTTCATGAAAGGAATGAACTCAAAGCACGAGTTAGTGATTTGGAAGATGAACTAGAGATGTATCGGCCAAAGTCCAGCGAATCGTAAGTCGGAAAGAATGTAGCTGAGTTTTGTAAATATTGCACCACTTGAAATGAAAGCTTAGAGCACTTGATAACAAAGTAAAATAATTGGCATGTTTCAGTTGTAATGTAGGTGTTTGTAAGTAACCAGACATCCTGGTTGGCACATATTTTTTGTATGTCTGTAGTAATATCTTGTTTCCTTTTAAAATTTAAACGACTAAAGACAACGTATGTCGTCATTAAAAGAAAGTCCCCGGTACGAATGACGCTATATGGTGTCGCAGAGTCCGCGCGTGGCAACGTTATATAAAATTAAATTTTAAAGTAGAAAATTATGTCCTACTTACATAATTTTTGGCCACCATCTGCATGGAGTGTCTGTCTTCCCGCCTGCGTCATCTGCCGGAATGTTNTGTTTCTCTCCGTTTTCAAGAAGTTTCTGTAGCATTACTTGATTTTATATTATTAAATTAGAAGCTTTGTAACTTATGAATAGAGTATTACTTGATTTCAAATACATTATTCTTGCTATCAAATGGTTTTACAGTCTTGCATGCAGCACGTCTTTCTATGAAACTTACTAAAAGTTATTCACGTCAAAAGTTTTATACATTATATAGACTTTAACTTATTAATTTATTTACTGCTTGGTTCAACCTATAAGGTCATCATCTGCTGTGCTTCAAAAAAAAAAAAACACGCTCTGTAGTCCACAAGTGAACTATACTGATGTAGCGACCTCTGCTTGTTGGGGAAGTTAGTGCCAACTTTTGCAGAGCAAGGGCGTCACGTGGTCAGCACAATGGATCCCCATGGCCGTTAATCTTGGTTTTCTAAACTGGACCGCTGTGCTTCCTCGTTTATAATTTAAAAACATCTGATGATGACCTTATAGGTCAAAACATATAGCAATTAAATTTTAATAAGTTAAAATCCATTTGACATGAATAACTTTTAGTAAGTTCTATAGAAAGACATGCTGCATGTGAGACTGTGAAACTATTTGATACTAAATAAAGTGCAGCAGGATTCTGCAATATAATATTATGAGAAATTTCTCTTACATTTTATACTTCCGCTGACCAGTATGGACAGTTGGCAGTCATAAACCTGGAATTCAGCCATTATTCACAGTTAATGATTTCTATAAGCAAACTTTATGTAAGAACTATATGGGCTGGAGGTTCATTTAAATTAACCCCTATAAAAATGTATTCATACTAAATCATGTTAAAGGAGTAACATAGTCATAGATATGAGATTTTCTGTTAAAGAAATTTGTGTTCAGTGTACAGATTAAGATGTTTAGCTTATACAGCGGGACTTTAGTAATTTGACTGTGAAGATATGAATATAGTTGTAACTGAGCAAACAAGCTAGTAGAGTGTAAGATATTGTTTCAGAAAATGGCTAAGAAACTGAAGCTGGACTTCTGTACTCCAAGCCATCATAAAAGTTAAGTCATTTTATTTATCCACCAAGGCATAGGTGGGTGGACAATATTAAAATGGATCTCAGAGAGATAGGATGGGATGGTATGGATTGGATTGATCTGGCTCAGGATAGAGACCAGTGGAGGGCTCTTGTGAACACGGTAATGAACATTCAAGTTCCATGAAATGCTGGGAAATTCTTGAGTGGCTGCACAATTGGCGGCTTCTCAAGAAGGCCTCAGCTCCATAAGCAAGTAAGTACAAGGGTAGCCCTTCTCGTCCTTTTCACCACAACCTACAGTGGTGTTTTGTGCTTAAGTAAGTAAGTCTGGTCCCTATACTAATTGAGGTGTGATGGCTCCCTTGAATGTGAGGTGCTATCAGAAAGTTAAGTCATTTTATTTATCCAAATCACATTCTATTATTGGAATAAGTGATTGAATGGGTGCACCATTTTCTTGAATTACTTGAATCTGTCTTAGCCACTTGTCAATGGCTGAGCAGATGTCATCCTGTGATAGGAGAAGCCACACATTTTCTATTCATTGTTCAAGTAACTCACTGGTCTTGAACAGTTCTCTCTGGTTTTTATTCACTATTTCAGTTCCTTCCAAACATGGAATGGATTGAAATCTGGAGAATTCATTCCCAGTTTTCTGAATTTGGCAAGTTAAACTGTAGCATTTTTGCATATTTTTTAAGAGCAAGTAACATGAAAGTAAAAAATGCCAATTTTTAACATTCACCATATGAAATATTTTTCTGCATAATGAGTCACCAAACTGGATACATATTTTTATACACATACTTACGTATGTTCCACACAACTTGTATTAAGAGCTTTTGATTTTTACCTTCACCTACTATGGAATAAATGTTATGCCTCTTTCATTATTTTCCTTTGTTATCACACTTTCTTGAATATAAAGTGTTAAGTAAAGTTACCCTTGTACTTAATTAAGTACGACACAGCTAAAACATGAGGGAGTGGAGATATAATTCTGTAACATTCTTAACCTCAGCAGTAGATGGAGGTGAGTGGTCAATTTCATGACATGACTGCTCTGCTCATGGGGAGTGTCCCTGGTACACTTTGGAAAGTAGACTGGGTGGTCATGGGGCCCAGTCAGGATGCTGTGGAATGAAGGAAAATTTCTTTTCCTGCTGCAAATCAGACCCCGTTTCAGCCCTTAGTCTGGTCCCTATACTAATTGAGGTGTGATGGCTCCCTTGAATACGAGGTGTTATCAGAAAGTTCCTGGACTAGGTCAAAAAATAAATTTTGGCTTAACTTCTCATTTTTATCTGCCATCTCCTTCAAAATAGTCTCCATGGGAACATATATAGCGATCCCATCATTTTTTTCACACTTCAAAGGCACTGTGGAAATCATTTTCCTTAATGTTGTCAAGTACTGCTTGCATTTCCTTTTGGATGTCAGACACTGTTTGAAAATGTCATCCCTTCAGTTTCAGTTTCAATTTTGGAATGAAAGAGAAATTAAGGGTGCTAAGTCTGGTAAGGAGGAAGGATTGAGAACAATAACCATGTTGTTGTTAGTCACAAACTCTGTGGTTTTCAGGAATATGTGGGTGGCTGCGTTGTCATGATGAAGGAGCCAGTTGTGGTTGTGCCAAATTTCCAGTCTTTTTTGTTGCACATTTTCTCCTAAGCATCTCAAAATGTCACAGTGAAAGTCGGATTTGACTGTAGTGTTAGGAGGGACAAATTCACAGTGAATGGTCCCTTTCATGTCGGGAAAAACAGTGAGCATTCTCTTTGTTGAACTCTGTACCTGCCGCGCCGTTTTTGCTCCTCGTGATTGTGGGCTCTGCTACTGCATTGATTGTTGTTTTGTTTCTGGATCATAACCGTAAATCCAACTTTCATCACCCATTATCATCCTAACTCGTAAAAAAGTGGGGTCCTCGTTAGCCTTCTCTTGTAGCTTGAGACACATGTTTATGCGCCGCTGCTTTTAATCATTTGTCAAGAGTTGGAGAACAAATTTCGCAGCAGTGTGGTACATGTTCAAATTTTCTGTTAAGATCTCCTAGCAAATTCTGTAACTGATCCCAGTGGTGTCTGCGAGCTCATGGATTGTTCAGCGACCATCTTCGTGGGTGAGTTCTTGAATTTTTCCAACATTTTCTGTCATTTTGCTGGTGGTTGGTCGCCCTGAACGTTTGTCATCTTCAGCTGACACTTGACTGGCCTTGACTGCCGTTCAGAAACAGCTGTCAGGCTTGAAGAATGTTCTACAAAAGCCTCACAAAGAATTTCAGGTGTTTTGATAGTGGATCTACCAAGTTTCATGCCAAACTTGATGCAGACACTTTGCTTGATTTTGCCATCCATTGCAGATAAAATAAAAACAGTCAGTTGAAAAAAACACTTGTAAAACAGTGCAGGTTCACAGCGCAGTGTCACGTGGCAGACTGATGCCATGGGCTGGTGGAAGTGTGACCTTGGTCTCTCCTCTCATTTTTTTCACTGACACAGTTACAGTAATAATTAGTGCAGGAACTTTCCTATGCATCTTGTATATGACAAATTTTTTCTCCTAATGTAGCATCTGAAAAACGAATTATCATCATATAATTCCAAACGAGGTGAAATATTTAGCTGGGCCATATTTATTTCACTAGTAGTTCAAAGTGCTCATTTTTTCCCTTACTGCAGATAGTGTTCTTATCCTGTCTATGTGGCGGCATAATGTAGCAACTGAGTGGAAGTCAGCAGGAAGTGGAAAATATTTCTTTTTTCTGTATTCTAAATTTTTAAAGGTAGTGGTTAGTGAAGTTTTTGCTTATCTGGTTCATGCATGCATGCAAGATAAGTGTCTTTGCATGCTCAGTTATGGCAACACTTGTATGATGAATCTTCTTTCCTGCATTAAATATTTTTTCCTTCATTAGTATCAGTTACGGGGAAAGAATAAGTGGAACAGTGAACATATATGCATGATGGTTTAAGCTGCATATGATATCTGGCAGACAGTTGGCTTCTTGCCAGAAGTTACTGTTCTTTCATTCATTCTGATTCTCAGAATGGTTCCTTTCCTGGATGTGAAATATGTTATTTTCAAAACATTTCTGTTGTTCAGTGAACTGCATATGGTCTGTTTTCAGTTCATTTAATTGCTTATAGCCGGTGACCTTAGTAAGTGCTAAAGAAAGAGAATATACTGGCCTTGTGTTTTACTTGTCAACCTGCTTGGTCCTTCAATAGACGTCACAATGTGTCGCTGTCAAGGTGGTCGCATGCTCAGAGGAACTTCGGTGCTCGCCGTGCTGCTGCAATGGCTGTGGTGTTCCCCTCCCCCTCTGTCCCCTCCCCTGGCAGACCTCCCCCTACCAGTGCTGACAGTGCCGTGGCCTCGCCCAGTTGGAGAAAATCTGATTCTGCACCTCGCAACTTGTAAGCATGTTGCTTGATGAGTTTAAGTTGTTAGTTTGCACTGCATATTTGTAGAGCTGTAGTGTGATTGCCATTACGTGTTCCCATGCTTGTCTTAATAATGATGTTATTTCACTGATATAAGTTTATTATTTATTTATTTTATTAGCTTGAATATGAAATAGTTTAAACCTCATCTAATTTTAGAAGTAGTGAGAAGTTTTTCATGGAAGAAACCAGTTTCATAGCTGGCAGTGCATGTGAAAAATATCTCTGCATTCACTTGATTTAAGTGTATCTAGTCAGACATTTGCTGTATTAAAAATGGTTAATATATAATTTTTTTTTATTGTTCTGTAATGGTAAGTACCCATAAAATTATTAACATCTTGTTTAAATATTTATAGCTATTCATAGACTTCAAGAAAACCTATGATTCAGTTAGGAGGGAAGTATTGTACAGTATTCTCATAGAGTTTGGGGTACCTATGAACAAGTTAGGCTGATTAAAATGTGTGTAAACAAAACATATGGTAAAGTCTGTATAGGTAAACATTTGTCTGATAATTTTCTTGTCCAGAATGTTCTAAAACAAGGAGATGCTTTAACACCACTGCTTTTCAACTATGCTTTAGAATATGCCATTAGGAAGGTCCAGGAAAATCAGGTGGACTGAAATTAAATGGGACACATCAGCTATTGGTCTATGCCGATGATGTGAATCTACTGGGTGATAATATACAAGGGTAAGTCAATAAGTAAGTTACAAATGGATATAGAACTTAAACAAATAATAGTACTGATTTGAAAAATGCTCTTATTTTTCAACATAATCTCCCTGTACATTGAGGCACTTGTCCCATCGTTTCACAAGCCCCTGAAAGCAAGCAGCATAAAATTCTTTGGGTTGCTTTCGGAACCAGGCGGTGACTTCCCTTTCTACAGCTTCATCGTCGGGAAAATGTTCAGCCGAAAGATGATGTTTAAGAGGGCTGAACTAATGGAAGTTGCTTGGAGCAAGGTCGGGGATATATGGAGGATGCTCGAGGACTTCCCACTTGAAATTTTGCAGTGTCTCATTTATCTTGTTGGCAGTATGGGGACGTGCGTTGTCATGCAAGAGCAACATGCCTTTAATGAGGAGTCCTGGTCACTTCTTTTGAATGGCCTTATGAAGTTTCCTGAGGATGTTACAGTAGGAGTCGGCATTTACGGTTTGTCCTTGAGGCTGGAATGCGGTGAGCAGTATGCCTTCGTGATCCCAGGCACCACCTGGTTCCGACAGCAGCCCAAAGAATTTTATGCTGCTGGTTTTCAGGGGTTGGTGAAATGATGGGACAAGTGCCTCAATGTACAAGGAGATTATATTGAGAAATAAAGGCATTTTTCAAATCAGTACTCCTATTTGTTTAAGTTCTATATCTATTTGTAACTTACCTGTTGACTTACCTACATAGATACCATAGAGAAAAACATGCAAACTTTAATTGATGCTGGTAAGGAGGTTGGTCTAGAAGTTGTTGTCACCAAAATGCAGGGCAATATCATGACATAAAGATAGGTAACAGATGTTTTGAAAATGTGGCAGTTCACATATTTGGGAATGATTATAACAAATCAAAACCTGATTCAGGTTGAAATTAAGAGCAGATTGAAGTAGGGTAATGCTTGCTACCATTCAGTCCAGAACCTTTTGTCTTATCTGCTGTCTAAGAATGTAAAAATTAAAATATACAAAACTCTAATTTTGCCTGTGGTTCTGTATGGATGTGAAACTTGGTCTTTGACATTAAGGGAGGAGCGTAGACTGAGGGTGTTTGAGAGCAGGGTGTTGAGTAGAATATGTAGACTGAAGAGAGATGAAGTGACAGGAGGTTGGAGAAAACTGCATAATGAGGAGCTTCATAACTTGGACTCTTCTCCAAGTATAATTAGAATGATGAAGCCAAGGAGGAGGAGGTGGGTGGAACATGTGGCACAAATGGGGGAGAGGAGGAATGCATGTAGGATATTGGTAGGAAAGTCAGAAAGAAAGAGACCACTAGGATGACCAAGGTATAGGTGTGTGGGCAATATTAAAATGGATCTTAGATAGATAGGATGGGATGGTGTGGATTGGATTGATCTGGCTCATGATAAGGACCAGTGGAGGGCTCTTGTGAACATGGTAATGAACCTTCGGGCTCCATAAAATGTTAGGAAGTTCAGAGTAGCTGCACAATTGGTGGCTTCTTAAGAAAGGCTCAGCTCCCTGAGTGAGTGAATTAATTATTTGGTGATACCATATGAAGTCAGTTTACTAATGTCAACACAATTTCTGTTCTAATTCCAAAAATTGTGTGTATAAATTTAAAGATCTCATAGTTTTAAAACTCTTCCAGTGTAGTTGGGTTTGTACAGAAGTGTCACCTAGTACTGCGGCCGAAGGGATAATTTTGGTCAGTTGACACTCTGCTCTCTGTACCAAGATAGCAGATGAGATCTGAGGTCCTAAAAGCAGGGAGGATTCAGATCATGGCCTTCTGAGGTGTGGCACTGTGCACTTCTGAAATGGTGGAAAAAGTAATATTAGGGCTTACTTTTTTCAGAATGCTAGGCATTATAAATCAAATTTTCAAACCATTATTAGTTTCTAGACATGGATTATAAGTGCTGATGTTGGCAGAAATGCATTTTGTGACAAAGACTGTGGGATACTTAGTTTTTGACTGTAAAAGAAAGAAGAAATTTGGAGAGATTTCACAGAGAACGGAGTGTACAAAACAATACAGAAGAGCTTGGAAGTAACTCATTTACATGCTGAGCTGTGATAGCATATCAGAAAAGGTTTCAAAATACCAGTCAAAGTACTGAAGAAGTTTGAAAAGATTTCCAAAACAGCGGAAGGATTCTGTTGTATAATATTATGACATGTTGAGACGAGAGACGAGAGCCATCCAAGAAAGGACTTGGCACCACGGTCCCGTACCAGCAAGCGGCTGGAAGACCAGGAGGAAGGACGACGTCAGCAAGTGCAAACAATGCATCATGAGCTGTTATGTCGAAATAAGGAACCCCCGAAGAAAGAAATCCTGGATTGGACCTTGTGGAGAGGACGACCCCCTCCAAAACGGAAAAAGACACGGGAGAAGCCCGACCAATTCGACAGCCACCGAGGAGAGTACCCCTGGCAAAACAAGCGGAAGTGAAGGAAATGCTCGAAAATATGCGAGGACGGGGTGTTATAGAAGAATCGGACAGCCCTTGGTCGTCCCCGGTCGTTCTGGTCAGGAAAAAGAATGGGGAGATCCGTTTCTGTGTGGACTACAGAAAGCTGAACAACGTCACCAAGAAGGATTGCTTTCC